ATGTACATATTAACAGATAAAATGTACATATTAGCACCTAAAATGTACATATCACCTAGAATGTACGTATTAGGACAAAAAATGGACATATTAACACCTAAAATGTACATATTAGCACCTAAATGTACATATTAACACCTGAAATGTACATATTAGCACATAAAATGTACATATTAGCACCTAAAATGTACATCACCTAGGATGTACATATTAACACCTAAAATGTACATATTAGCACCTAACATACATATTAACCCTAAAATGTACATATTAGCACCTAAAATGGACAAAAGTTTACCCTTCGAATAGGTACAGCCCCAGTGACAGCTTTCGTACTTTTTTTCTGAGCGTGTACCTGGTATAGTCTTTACAAATTCATGTGCTTGCTTGAGAAAGTGCACAGTGAATCTACATTACAATTTCTTTGCTATAAGGAACATTGAAATTCCTAAAATGATCTTGCTTAAAGGTGCTAAATGATCAGGGACATGTAAACCCTCAGTAATCCACAACATATGTAGAGACAGTCTACTCCAGCATCCCCAGAGCTCGAGATGATGTCATGGCAATTACATAAATGCATGTGCAAAACAAGGGGCCAAGGTTCACCTGGTTATAGCACGGTCCCTTTAGCCCCTGCTGGTAGATGCCGTAATTACAATGTCTGGCGGCTGTAAGCTGCCGTCTAAATCGATCCAATGGTGGTACTCGATTAGAGGTGAAGGTCTCACGTGTGTTCCGTCTCACATGTCATTCTTTCTTCAGTCAAAAAGAAATTAAGGTTTTTGATGAAAACATTCCAGGATTTTTCTCCATATAATGGACTTCAATGGGAACCAAACGGTTCAACGTCCAAAAGACACTTTCAGTGCAAACTGCAAACTGTTCAAATGGCTTTAAATGATTCCAGACGATGAATAAGGGTCTTATCAAACGAAACGATCGCTCATTAAAAAAATAAATAACAAAGTTTTAAGTTTTATAAACTCAAATGCTCGTCTTGCTCTGTCATGCACGTTCGTGTTCAGACTTGTTCATCAAAATGAACAAATCTTTTTCTGAGTCATTTGGTTCATTCAACGAACAAAATGAACGAATTGACTTGGAAAAAGATTTGTTCATTTTGATGAACGAGTTCGAACAGGAGGGTCACAAACGTGCGTCATAGAACGTATAAAACTTAAACTTCGTTTTTTTTTTTTACACGAGCGATCGTTTCGCTTGCTAAGACCATTATTCATCGTCTGTAATCGTTTAAAGCCCTTTGAACAGTTTGCAGTTCGCACTGAAACTGTCTTTTGGACCTTGAACCGTTTGGTCCCCATTGAAGTCCATTATATGGAGAAAAATGCTGGAATGTTTTCATCAAAAACATTAATTTCTTAATTTCTTTTCGACTGAAGAAAGAAAGACGTGGACATCTTGGATGACATGGGGGTGAGTAAATTATCAGCAAAATTCGTCATTATGTTAAGCCTGCCCACCGACTCTATACACGATTTGATTGGCCTGACCAGTGTTTGGTTTTTCCAGCTAAAACGTCTATGGAGAGTTGCTAGACCACACTGGCTAAGAAATTATTTTTGTTGCCGCTAGGTTTCTAGGCTAAAATCAAGCAGGTTCAGTTGAGATTCTGTTTGTTTATGATTAATGTTTATGAATATACATACTGTAAATGGTCGAGTCTGTTCAGACAATTTGTACTAAACCACTCAATTAATAGATAGTTTTACGATCACAATATGAACGTTTTGAAGCATCAAAGTGGTAGTTGCGTATCTGTCAATGGAGGGACAGAAATCTCTCAGATTTCATCAAAACAATCTTAATTTGTGTTCTGAAGATGAACGAAAGTCTTTTGAGGGTGAGGAATTAATGAAAGAATTTTCATTTTGGCTGAACTACAGTCATAAACATGTTCTCTCTTTAAGTATACTTACTAAGTATTTCTTGAATATTATATTATCTGCAAGTACATTTTAAAATAATGCTTCTATGGTTTGAAACACAAGCACAAGTGCACATCCAATACAATTAAGTGCACTTCTTTTTCATAAGGAAGGCTTTAGTAAGGTTTCTGGACCCTTATTTCGATTCATCACTATGAACTCCTCACTATGACATGGTGTGTGTGTCAATGTAAATATGTTCTTTTCCTCTTGAAAGTTGAGTAGATCATTCTAGAATGTCTTGCTTCTCATAACAATCACATACAATGTTTATGCAGGACTTGCCTTTCCTTCCCCACACAATCTCTGATTCATTTCCAGCCAAACACAAACACTATACGTGTAGGGAATTGAATCAGAGTCAGTGGTCAGCAGCAAAACTCAACAACATGATCTAAGCTGAGCATCTTGACAGGCTGCTGTGACCCCTGTGAAATCATTTGTCTATTTATATCTCCAGTGGGTGATGTCTTAAAGCGGTCTGCAAAATAAGGGAGGGCGTACAGTATCTAGAGCACATCTACAGGACAGAAAATAATATAATGGTAAAACCAAGGTCATTTGAACTTACGCATCATCAGAGACTTTAAAAACACGCCCACTGTCCAGTTCTCAGGCATATACAGTGACACACACATGAATGAGTTATATGTTATAATGCATGGTGACAGAGCGAGGCCAAAGGCATTGCATATAGCCTTCAGGAGAAACTGTGATGATGGGTTATCATGTTTCACCAAAGGAAAAGTGCAACACAATTATAAAATACACACAAAAATAATCTTTTACTAACCTGAAATAAACAGATGTCAAATGGACTTGTGCAGGGCAAATTTCCTCATTGGTTACACACATGGCTGAAAACAGACTGTTTATATTTCTACAAATAAACACAATTTTTCATAGGCATCTAAACATAATCAGGATTTCTAATGTATTTGCACATGTTTACACTGAAATAAAAGATCTGCTATGCTAATTTCACTCAATCTACCAGAATATGCTATTGCATATGATTTAGCACACATTGTTTCTTATTGTTGCATTAAGGACCAATCTTTGCACGATACACTGCCTCATCATCTCATGTACTCCACTCTTGTTTAATCTTATGTATTTAAATGTGCACAGGGAGATTCTCTTACATTTTTTGCTATTTTCTCACAGATTAAATAAAAGTAAATAAAAAAGAGAAATGAAATACGTCCCTGCAGCCTGCCACCTCCATCTCAGTTCTGTGAGACTGTCTGTGTTTGTTTCATAACGAATGATCAGTCAGATCACTGCAATAGGATGCCCCCTGTTGTCATACTACAATTCATTTAATGCCTGAACACAATATTATATTTATTGAATTGGCTAAATATAGATCAATCGTTGCATGCATTTATCTGTCTTAGATTAAAACTATGTTCTTTCCTGAATGCTCTTAGAAAATGGCTTTAAAAAAGTTTTACCAAAGTGCATGTCCAAAAAAATATGGTGCCATGTGCAAAAACATTTTTTAGTTATTGCTTTCTTCTTTCAAAGTTTTAAAAGCTGTGCTATTCAAAAACAAAAAGAAAAGTCAAATCATATATCTAGAGAACAAAATAGCATTTCATGTCGAAGAAAAATCTATTTCTTTTCAACAGAAATCGAAATTTGAGCTCTGGATTAAATGCATTTACTTATCTCACTTGCACAAAAACACATTCAGTATTCCTCATAAATAAAAAGAGTGAAATACAAATGCTGAATATTACACAAATCTGCATTAATTAAAGAGGATTGCCCCTATTATGTAAAATTCATTCACTTTTATAAGGTGTTTGAACACAGATGTGTGTCAACAGTGTGTGTAAACAATTTATTATCCTTTTTTTTTGGCCTTCAAAAGTCTTAAATTGCACACATGTAGCACTCTCAGAAAAAAAGGTACAAAAGCTGTCACTGGGGCTGTACCTTTTCAAAAGTACACTTTTGTATCCAAAGGCTACATATTGGTACCTTAGTGGTACATATTAGCACCTGAAATGTACATAGCTCATGAAATGGACATATTAAAATGTATATTAACACCTAAAATTGACATATTACCACCTAAAATGTACATATTATCACATAAATTGTACATATTAGCACGTCAAATGTACATATTAGCACCTAAAATGGACAAAAGTTTACCTTTTGAAAAGGTACTGCCCCAGTGACAGCTTTTGTACCTTTTTTTCTGAGAGTGTAGGTCAGAGAAATCAAAATTTTCTCAGGGGAGCATGCCCCCGAACCCTCTTAATTTGATTCACATGTCTGTAAATACCCAAAAACTATTGCTATACCACGATACTCAATGTTGTCCCACAGTGAGACATTTTTCACCAGTTGCACCTACACAAAATTTTAGGGTTCCCCCACCAAATTCCCCACTGCTTGTAAACATATCGAAGTATGACTGAAAAGACAATATCAGAGCTTTCTTGGTTGTTTCTGTTGTTCACCATTTGCATGCAATTGTTATCAAACTTCAGGTGTGATCCTAATTTTAATTTATTATAAATGTTATATCACTGTCTTCGATAAAGTTTTGTCTATCCATTTATGGTGTTTTTTCAAAAAGTACTATATTTTCTATGTAATTTTTGCTTATTTTTATGTTTGATTTTTTTTTAAACTACATTAAAATATGATTTCAATAAGAGCTAAAACCTAAAGATGAAGTGACTTTGCTGTCACCCAGTGTCTTATTTTGGCTTAGAATGCTCTAAATTACAGTTTTTCCCATTCATTTCTATAGGTGCCCATTTTTGACCCAAATACAAGATTAAGGATTTTTTTCCCCCACCCACTTAACATTGTGTGTGTTCAGGAGGCAAACTTAGGAAAAGTAGCCAAGTCTCGTACCGCTCAGATCAAGGGAAGTATTTTTTTTAAAATAAATCAAAACTATTTTGCCCACATTTGTCCAGAACACAGCTGAAAAGGCGTGTCTGTCTCTTTAAAACGCAAGATTACACGTCACGTACGTCCTCGGCCCCGCGACTGAAAACTCGAATGTCATTGGTCCATGCGTGTTCCGCTTGTCGTGCGCGTTCCAGGCGAGTCACCTTGCTGTCCACAACAGCAGAAGTAGACCAGCAGAACAGAAGGTGTCCTACCGAAACCCGAACCAGCACTGCAGCCATGGCAGCCGCAGCGCACACGGGCAAACCCAAAACCTCGCCCAAATCTATTAAGTTTCTCTTCGGTGGCTTGGCGGGGTATGTATGCGCCTATCATTCAGCGGCGCTCTCTGTTGCATAGGTTTGAATTGAATGAGCAACTGATGAGAGAGTGAGATTATTGATAAGGGTCATCCGTTATCAGCTGCGCGAGCTAGTGATCAGAATCAGCATAAGGAGTTTATGTGGTGTGTTATGGCTTTTCTTGTCAATTTCTGCGAGTTCTGTAACGTTAGTGAATGGTTTTGCAGGCCCAGAGAAAGCCTGGTAACCCCGTGTCAAAATTTGAACTTCAGATTAAATGTCACGCGTCGTCATGTGTCACTGAGGAATGTACGTTGAAACCTTTATTAAATCCCATCCTTAAATATATTACTACACATTTAAGACACTATTATGACAGTTCCCTCACACATGGACTCTCTGAAATAAACACAAGACCTGTATCGTTAAATCAATGCTGTTTCTTATACTGGTTGTCCTTGGGCAAATGTTAAAGTCACCATGAAATCAACACGGACAATTCTTGTTCAGTTTTTTATGGAATTTATTATAAAAAAAATTATCCGTGCATATAGCCTAATTATCCTAATCTTTATTTATTTGATCCTAATCCTAATCTTTAAAATGCCCTCCTAATCTTTATTCTGAATATCTAAACATCTCTGCTCTTTTCTGATGACGTGTTTTCTGCCACAGGGGCGGAGCAACCTGTCACTCACATGAGATCCACCAATAGCAAACAACAACCATCCAAACAATTTCCCATGAACAAAATCTAGATTTTTTTTCTTGACCAAGAAGCCTTTTCATTCGGATATAGGGAAGAAAACACTATCTCAACTTCTGTTTCATGCACACTTTAAAGGCATAACTGAGCCAACATCTAAAGGTGCGTTCCATTCGACCGTAAGTGGACTGCAAACATTGCGCAGTGGACTTCACAGGGTATTTCGCCATCTTAAGTACGATTCCAATCCGAAGTGAACGAACATTTTCAGTTCGAAGGGCACTGCAAATGGCATAGGGAATAAGGGAACATCGATACAATTGGGGATGAAGGTTACATTTTCATAGTCTATTGTGCGAATACCTACACAAATTAAAAGTGCTGAGAAGCAGTCTAACTAATAAAATGTTTTGACTTTTTTTCTCTATATATGATTTTAAATTAGAAAGCAGAGTAAATAATAATATTTAATATTGTAATTTTATATCATAATCTGCGCGACCCTGTTGTTACCTGTCTTTGATGATTTCGCAGGGCATTCCAAATGAGCGATTATTGACAGCGAAGTCCACTACAACCGATGTACCGTGTTCAGGGAGTCGGGAGCAGTGAACACTGCGCAGGGACCTTGTCGAATGGAGTGCACCTTCTAGGACACCATAAATGCACTACTTTAAAAGGAATTTAATGTTTTTTTTTTTTTTTTTTTTTTACGACAGCTGTTTTAGGATCCTCAGTAAAAAAAAAAACATTTGAAATTCTAAATACATTTCAATCATTATTTGGAAATAGTCTCAAAGATCCCGATAAGATTAAAAAACAACAGGATGAACAGATACTGGATGGACTGAGATTCCTACTAGTTCCAGTTTTGGGATTCTTCTGAATTTTCAAACTGGGACATTTAATCCTATTGGGGAATCATGTTGGTCCTGTAAAGAAAAATTCATTTTATGTGTCCTTATCTTTTTTTATTTTATTTTTTTAATTTTTCCTATTTTTTTAACAGGTTTCCTGTTAAAACAGGATGAAAACAGGGCTTTAAAGTAAATAAATCATTTAGCGATAACACTTTACCATAAGGTTCATTAGTTAACTAACGTGAACTAACCATGAGCAATACATTTGTCAATGATGTGTTTATCTTTGTTAACATTAGTTAATACAGCTGAGCTGTACATGTTAGTTCACAGTGCCTTAAAGGGATAGTTCAGGTAAAAAATTAATTTTTGGTAATTTTTGGTTTTAGCTTACCTCACGGGCATCCAAGATGTAGGTGTTTGTCTTTGTTTCCGCAGTATTTTCAATTTTGATATTTTTAGGTCAAACCGTTTGTGTCTATCAGTCATATAATGGAGGTCTATGGTCACCACCTCAAAGAGCATGCACAGAGAAGTCCAAATTAAACACGATTTAATGACTCGTAAATCAATGTAAGTACACAATGTTGGCCTGAGACACAAAACGAGCGGTTTGTGTGAGAGAATGAACAGTATTTATATCGTTTTTACCTTTTCACAAAGCGCCCGCGCCCTCAGATCACTTGGACGTTACTGTGGTTACAAGAGGTAAAAACGATATAAATACTATTCGTTTTCTCAAACAAACCGCTCGTTTCGTGTCTCAGGCCAACATTGTGTACTTGCATTGATTTACGAGTCATTAAATCATGTTTAATTTGGACTTCTCTGTGCATGCTCTTTGAGGTGGTGACCATAGACCTCCATTATATGATTGACAGACAACAACGGTTTGACCTAAAAATGTAAAAATTGAAAATACTGCGGAAACAAAGACACCTACATCTTGGATGCCCTTGAGGTAATGTTAACAAGATTTTAATAAAATATTAGTAAATGTTGAAATTAGCAAAGATTAATAAAAGCTGTATAAGCGCGGTTCATTATTGCTTCAATGAACCTTATTGTGAAGTGTTACCGATTTAGCTAACATGCATGCATTCTCTCTGACTTCCAGGATGGGTGCAACAGTGTTTGTGCAGCCGCTGGATCTGGTGAAGAACCGGATGCAGTTGAGCGGTCAGGGCTCCAAGGCTCGCGAGTACAAGACTAGCTTGCACGCCTTGGCTAGTATCCTGCGCAACGAGGGCGTCGGGGGCATCTACACCGGGTAAGAAGGAAAACAACTGTGTTAGGAGACCAGCGTTGTAGATTAGTGAGGTACACTTTCTCACAACAAGGCGAGAATGTTCAAGTACAGAGGAAAGAGTTTGAATGAATTATTGAATTAATGTTTTGTTTTGTTTTTTAATATTAATTTTACCAGACACTGGATGTGAGAAACTAGGGAGCTCTAGCTGGACATCCTTACTGAGTGACTGTAGATGGAGCCCATAGCTTTACACAAGCAGTAAATATCTGATTAGGTTTATATCTGATACTTACATCTCGTGTATCTCTTGTCTCACGCATTTATTCTGTCCCGTGTTTTTAATTGCAGGCTTTCGGCGGGTCTGTTGAGACAGGCGACCTACACCACGACCCGCTTGGGCATCTACACGGTCCTGTTTGAGCGCATGTCTAAAGCGGATGGCACACCTCCCAACTTCTTGATGAAGGCTTTGATCGGAATGACGGCTGGGGCCACGGGGGCGTTCGTCGGGACTCCAGCTGAGGTGGCGCTCATTCGAATGACGGCTGATGGGAGGTAGAAGAATATCATTACACTTCACCATAATTCACCTAAAAGTGACTAAATAAATCAGACTGTCAGTCCAAATTAGAGCCAGGCCGATATTAGGTATTTTCCAAATTATCGTTATCGGCAGTTATAATGGCCGATTATGAATATTTTGTATCTTATTTTGATAATGAATATTTTAACAAAATTTGTGACTATCATGTCCAGTTTTGCTGCTGTTAAATAAGCCGAGAATGAAGCAGAATTAGCTAGTAATAGTTACATTATGTTGTTACTAGAGCCCGACCGATAAAGGATTTTGAAGGCCGATACCGATACAAAAATGTGTTGGTTTTAATATCCGATATATCGGTCGATATTTTTTTTAATTTCAGAAACGTGCAACAAAACAGATACGGTAGGTGGCGGTAATACTCCTAAGCGGTGAGCAGCCGGTAACAAAAAGTAGTCGAAGGAGAAGAACGTCCTCGTCTCAGTTCTCGCGCATGCGCCCATAATGAAGTAATAGAATAGTCGAATTAAGTCGTTATTTATGTTTTTTTCGCACAAAAAGTAGTCTCGTCGCTTGATAAACTTATAATTGAGCCGCTGTAGGCACATGGAATATTTAAACCTTTTCTTTAATGACTTTATGGGCCGTCAAGAGCCAGTCCCTCAGGCATCCTATGTAAGACTGATCCAGCTCTCAGATTCAATCAAAAATATCTTTATTTGTGTTCCGAAGATGAACGAAGGTCTTACAGGGTTGGTACAGCATGGGGGTGAGTAATTAATGACTTAATTTTCATTTTTGGGTGAACTAACCCTTTAAGTGTCCAACACATGCACACTTCAGAATCTCACCAGAAGTACTAGATCGTCCGGGTACTCTTTGCCCACACTTTTACGAGTACTGAGAATTCAGTCATACTACTTTAGTCACATACTGCTTTTCGCATACTATATAGTTGGGAAGTGTGCGATTTCGGATGCAGCCCAGGCATGCTTAAGCATTCTTTGCCCTTTTTAGGGACGCATCTTGTGACATCACGTCCTGTTTTTGGTTCTTTTAGATGTTGCGTTCATATTTTAGTTGAACAGCGCCAGAGTTCATTTGGATCCACTTGTTTAGTGAGCACTTGTCCGCATGTTCGGTGACTCCCGAGGTTCAAATGTTCTCACTTATTCAAATGAAGCACACTAACACTGACTAGAATCTGAATATGGCGACGTAAGGCTACACTAACACAGAAATCGCACCAGAATTAGTTTCAATCAAACCGAACCTGTCAAGTATGAACACACCCTTAGATTCGTGAAACAAAACTGACAAGTAAAGTGACCAGCCAAACGAACAACGTTTGTTAGATAATGTTTTTTTTTTATGTGCCGGTTAATAAAATAACATACGTTTTATTAAAAATAAATTTAAAAGTAAATTTTAAATTTACTATATAATAATCCTATAAACTTTTAGTATTATTTGATTGTGTTACTGACTGTTAATATCAATATCATCATCGTTATCTTATTAAAATATTGAAATGTAAATTTAAAAAAAATAGAAATTGTAATAAAGTATCACTCACTCCTTTATCTCTTTCTTGTCCAGGTTGCCTCCAGATCAAAGGAGGGGTTACTCAAACGTCTTCAATGCCCTCGTCAGAATCACTAGAGAGGAAGGAGTCACCACACTCTGGAGGGTAAGTGTGTGTGTTAGAAGAATATGGTTTGTGTGTAATCTTGTTACATGTGCGCTAATAATCTAGATGCATTTGAGTTTTATGTTTTACAGTCATGTATTTTTGAGAATTAAGCCCATTTCACACAGATATGCCGGAAAATCGACTGATAATGTGTGCAGGGATTTGTCCCGGGATCAATCGATTTTGGTTCATTTGCACTGCCTGTGATGTGTTCACACATCTTATAAAGATCCAATAAAGACTCGTGACATCGATGTGATGTGTAATGTCTCCTCAGCATCTTAAGTTTGCTTATGATCTCAACACACTCATTTAGTTTATTCAATCATAAATTAGCAATTGGCAATTTCACTGTGTGAAATGGGATTTAGACTATTATTGGGATTTGAATAAGACTGGTTTGATTTAAAAGAAATCCTGAAACTAAACTTCTTTTGATTCTTTTACCAATGGGTACTGAAGTGCTCTGAAAGTCAGCTGTGATGCTGTGCCGCCACCACTGTAAATGTACATAAGTTGCAGATAAAAAATGGGTGCCTCAAAATCATACAAACACTAATGATGTGTGTTTTTGTTTTATTTCTAATGTAGGGCTGCATACCCACCATGGCCAGAGCAGTTGTTGTGAACGCAGCCCAACTTGCTTCATATTCCCAGTCCAAACAAGCACTGTTGGACTCTGGTATGGATTGACCTTCTTTTATCTTATCAGTCACAAACATGTAGTTTCAGCCCTTCTTGAAAATCTGGCTAATTCCAGATTCTGATGGTATCTTGGTGTACATGGTTTGCTGATCTTGGTGGTTAATTATTTGGACTACCAGTTGGACTTGACACAAATCAACATCGGTCAAGATGGTTAGGGTTGAAAGAACATTCTAGACCAGCTAAACCATCTCCAAAAACCTGCTCGACTGTCACCGAGAACAGCTTTGTCTGTGTTTGCACGTCGTAATTTCGTTTTTTGGTGCTTGGTTTTTGATTCTCATAAAAGAAAAAGCATTTTTCTGGCATCTGCAAGTACCTGACGGGTGAACTGCTATTATTTGATGTAACAGGTGGAATAATATTTACGTTCATGAGTCACAGGCGGACTGCGGTCGATTAGCCAAGACTATTTAGATTTCAGCCCATTTTGACAGGCACCTGCTTTCAAACGGTCTAGTGCATATTGGGTTCACACTCTGAAGATAGTCAAAGGATTATATTTACAATGTGTTTTGCAGCGTTTCAGTTGCGCTGATTTGAAGCGATTGACAGCTTGAGTTATTTTATAGGGATCGCTCTTTGCTCTCTTTCTGTATATAGTCTACTTTAGTGTTGTCAAAAAACTCGGTACTTCGGTACCAAGTCGGTACTAAAAAAAAAAAATGTTACGGTACCAGCTTTTCTAGGTACCGAGTACCAGGTTAATCCAGTTCTGTTCTAGACGCGATGTCTGAAACGTGCACAGTTGCGTCCTCTTTATAACGCTGATATGGCTCTCTCTCTCTGAATCCACTTGTTGGAACGAAAGGAGGAAAGAGCCACATATGGAAATATTTTGGATTAGGCTAATGTCACGTTGCCATAAGAGGCCGATTATATGCAAATTCGCAATTTCAAATATAGCCGCGATTCAAGCGCGCTCATAATAAAAACTCGTTGGCGTTGCATAGCAACGACAGACGCCGCGTGAGAGCAAGCGCTTTGGAAAGAATAAGAACGCGCAAAAATATAATTAAAAAAGACGCGCGATATGTGAACGGCCCCTAAAGTGCTTTCGGGGTAGTTTTACGAGTACATGAGCACAGTAGTATCCACCCGACACCAGAGTACTGGTATTAGTATCGATGCATCCCTAAATTATGTCATTTAATGTCAGTGCCAGTTCTAGGCGTATTCTTGCCTTTATAACTCAGCAGGTTTAAAAAGCCTTTTTAAAATTAAATATGAATGCAGTTTTAGATTAAATAAAAGGACAGTCAAGTCAAATAAAACATGTTTTATGGTAATGCTACAAAGATAACATTCATCAACATTACTTGGTTATCAACACATTGAGTGAACAATATATTTTTACAACAAATGTTTGAAAATGTTATTTATTACAAACACCTGATTGTTCATGTTTGTTCACTTAATTCATTGTGCATTAAATAAATAATGGATTAAAACTTTACAAACAACTTTAAAAATGTGTTAGTGTATACTATTGTTTATTTTAGGTCATTTTATCTCATCTTTTTCTAAAGTGTTTATAATACAAATGTACAGTTTCCATACTTGTAACCGTGATAAACACTTAAATATATGTAAATTTAAACTAAGCTTTGGTTCCGAAATTGGTACCGAGAACCGTGAATTTTAACTGGTATTGGTACCGAATACTGAAATTTTGGTACCGTGACAACACTAGTCTACTTATAATACAAGTGTTTATGCTGCTAAGTGGACCAATGGCCACATGTAGAGCCAGACCGATATATCGGCCGGCCGATATTAGGCATTTTCCATAATATCGGTATGGGCAGTTATAATGGCCGATAAATGAATATTTAAAAAATAAAATAAAAACGGACGAAACACGCTTTAATCATCTCTCCTTGGCCTGTTATATTGAAAATGTATGTTTTACAATTTGCAGTATGATGTTATCCATTGCTAAATTATGGCTCATCATAGACTAGCAAACCACAAAGCTAGCTAATGCCACTATCATCAGTGGAAGACCGCTAACGTTAACATTAATGAGCTTGGAAACCACAATGAATTATTACTGTATTTCTAACTAGCATATCTCTAGTTACAGTCCCTGTATTGTAAAATGTAAGTTATACTTGCGAGGAGTGAATATTTAGACATAGAGAAAAAGTATCAAACGTATCTTGTGCAGAAAAAGTTATCTTTTCTTTTACACGTGTGTGAAACCCAACAATATTTAATAAAAAAAAAAAATCGGCCGATATATCGGAATATCGGATTTTAAAATCCAAAAATATTCGTATCGGTATCGGCCTTCAAAATCCTTTATCTCTAATTGTTACAGTATGTGTTAATGTTAATCTTTATAAACATTACTTTATAAGAATACAACATCATTGTTAGCTCAGGTCCGATAAATAATATTAACAGAAACAACTTTTGATTAATAAATGCTTTAGAGATATTTATCATTGTTGATCGTTTTCCAATAGAGTTTGGATCCAATTTTTGTTTGGATTCAATTGTTTTAATTCAATTTTATGTTGTTTTATTTATTTTTTTTGTACTGTAAGGATTATTTATTGTATTTATTGTACACACCCAGTGGAGAGCGCTCCCAATTTCGTTGTATTGTAAAGTACAATAACAATAAAGGCATTGAATTTAATTCAAAGAGTTGATAAATTGATGAGATGGTGGCCATTGGTAATGCAGATGGTGGCGAAATAGACAGTTTTCTTTTTTTTACAAATGAACAGAAACGTGATGCAGCACTTAATATGATCTTGCATGATCCGTGTCCTATGGTATACCTTAGTTGACTGCATAATGGAGAATGAAATCTTGCATTTTACTGGCAATTCATCCTTTTTGTGATCAAATTAGAAGTGGGTTGCGTTTCCCATAAGCATTGTATGGCTAAATGGATCTTAAAGACCATTAGTGCAAATGGGTTCTACATTTAGACTTATAATGTCTTTGGAAAAACTAGCCCAGATCAGTTTTGCAGCCCATCCAGTAGTAGCGACACCTATGAGTTTTTCATAATTCAGTTTTCACGTGTTGTGAAAATGTTTTAGAAGCAATGTCTAAATGTGATTCAGATGAACTAGTGATTAACCAATCACTAACTGTTATTTATTTACCCAAATGTGGATGTATCGACGTGTTGGATACTGAGGTCAGTCTGAAATGGACTGCAATGATCCATTTAAAATATCTCTCTACTTCTGTTTGTGCAGGATATTTCGGAGATGATATTTTGTGTCATTTCTGTGCCAGTATGATCAGTGGACTGGTCACCACCGCTGCCTCCATGCCAGTTGATATTGTTAAGACCAGGTACAGCTTTACTTCCTAATGAAAATTGTAATTTATTCACCCTCATGTCGTTCCAAAAACCCAAATGACTTTCTGTCCCTCCATTGAATGTCTGTTGGGGGAAAACCAAATGAATCGAGTGGTTATGAAGGAACATGATTGCTTTATATAATGAATATATTTAATTTGGGCTTTTATATTGATCTGCAAACTATGGCATTGAATTTTGGCAAACAGAAGCTCAAGCATGCTTGCTTAAAGGGATACTTCACCTCTGGAAAGATGAATGTGTATTTAAGATGGGTAATTTATGTAGAAGAAATGTGAAATTATTTTTGAATTTGGAGTTTTCTAGACTGAGAAATGTATTTTTGGCTTATGTGGATGAAAGACAACAACTCCCAGAATGCACTTGCTTCGCTGCCCTAGGAGGCCACGCCTACCGGTAACAGAGCGCAGTAGTTAAACAACAAGTCTAGGCTACTAGTGAGTCTCCGTGATGAGTCTGCCCGAAAATGTGTTTCCAGATCGGCCAAAATGTCTGGGATTGGGCTTTTGCGTTCTACAGTCGCCGTTCATCATGTTTACTGTGGCGAGCGGGACGAGTGCGCGAGGCCGGTGGCGTGATTACCGATGAGCGACACCTGTGAGACGCACCGGTCTCGTATCTCTCACGAATTTTCTTAGCAATGTTAAAACGCACATCAACCGATCACTTGTTTAGCGTTCATGTAAACACTACATTCAGATTCACCAATCGGAACGAATTCAGTTCGATTGAAACAAAAGCTGTGCATGTAAACAATGAATGGCGACGGCAGAAAGCAAAAGCTGAATCCCGGACATCGACGGCCGGACATGTCCGTGAAAAAGAGGACGGTAACCCCTACTACTCAGCTTTCTCCACAGAACAAGAGCCTGCTAGCTTAGCTTCCAAACAAAGATGGCCGACACTATGTGTTCATTCTGTGAGTGAGATCGCCCTCTATGGGCGGGTTGAGGACATGCGGGACAGACCCGACTACTGACAGTAGTCTTTAGCCTCTGGACAATGACGAAAATGACGATTTTTGTGTCATCTGAGGATTTTTTCCAGACAAAAAATACATAAATCTCTCGTCTCAGGGGGATATGAGGGATATGAGCTTAATGCTAAATCCTGAAGTATCCCTTTAATGTGTGAGAACCAATGAGGTTCATTATCACGCGTCACGCAAATATGCTTGAACTTCTGTTTATTTACGCTGGTCAATGTTTAAATGTGAATAAAAGCCTAAAGTCAATCTGTTCGTCATATAAAGTGACTTGGATTAAACCACTTAATCTATATGGATTTCTTTTACAATCTTTATGAACATTGTGGGTGAATAGACTTTCAATAAAGTGTCAGATTTCGTTAACTATCTTCAATTGTGTTTTTAAGATGAACCGAAGTCTTATGGGTTTAGAACGACATGAGAGTAATTGATGACAGAATTTTATCTCTTTAAACAACTATAACATGCATGATAACTAGCGATGAATATGTTTACTGAAGCCGACAGTTAGTTAATCATTAATTTCCGTTTTATGGTCCAACACCAGTGTGACAGATTTCAAACCTGCGATTGCATTCACAATAAAGGCTTGAATCTACAGGTGAAACTCGAAAAATAAGAATATGGTGCAAAAGTTGATTTATTTCAGTAATTCAACTTAAAAAGTGAAACTAATATATTATATAGACTCATTGCATGCAAAGTTAGATATTTCAAGCCTTGATTTGTTATTATTTTGATGATTATGGCTTACAGCTTATGAAAAATCCACATTCAAAATTAGAATATTGTGAAAAGGTTTGCATATCTGTAAGCCATAGTCATCAAAATTATAACAAATAAAGGCTTGAAATATCACTTTGCATGTATTAAGTCTATATAATATATTAGTTTCACCTTTTAAGTTAGGCTGGAATGGTCAAAATCACAGCAACTGTAATCTCACAATTGTTGCTGAAAATTCAACATTTTTGTTAACCATTTTGATACTGTATACATAAAGTTAATTATTACTCAAATATTACATGACAATCTCATAATAGAGCATGGCACTATCATCACGTTCATGAGTGATAAAATGTATAACTTGATTTCAATGTAACTTACTTTGTATTAAAAGCATCATAGCCAAATGCATAAATATCCAAGGTATCTCATTCGATTATTATTTTCATTTTTACAACTTGGACGCAACCCAAAAGATAAGACTGCACATAATAAATGAGTCACTCATTAAATAAGACCCGACTTGAAAACAGAAGACTCAAAGCATTCATTTTTGCTGATTCTGGTTGTTTTCTGAGCAGCAGGTTTGAGTAGATGTTGTGCTTATATCCAATGCTAACATACATCTCATTCTTTTCAAAAGAATCCAGAACATGAGGATGATTGATGGGAAGCCGGAGTACAAGAATGGTTTGGTATGTTCTCAACTCACTTAGTCAATCTCTGTTTTAAGATACTGATCTCAGACAGCCTTTCAGTCACGTTGGTGTAGGGAGAAATCAGAAATGGATCAAAGTTTTAGGAAAAGCTTAAACAGAATAAATAAATAAAAAATCAGAATTGCAATATAAAAAGATTTCAACTACCTATTTTTATTTTAAGTTCTATAAAGTGCTACGTTTTATAAATTCTAACAAGTTTATGTCTGGAAACTTTGAAAGCAATTTTGACTTTTCCTCATAATTCTAGGTTTACATCTTGCCATTCTAATTTTTCCCCCCAGAATTCTCGTTTACATCTCACAATTCTAATTTTTTCCCCCAGAATTCGGTTTACATCTCACAATTCAAATTTTTTTCCTCAGAATTCTCAGTTTACATCTTGCCATTCTAATTTCCCCCCCAGAATTCTCGTTTACATCTCACTATTCTAATTTTTTCCCCCAGAAATCTGTTTACATCTCACAATTCTAATTTTTTTCCTCAGAATTCTCAGTTTACATCTCGCAATTCTAATTTTTTCCCCCAGAATTCTGTTTACATCTCACAATACTGACCTTTTCCCCTAGAAATCTCAGTTTAAATCTCACAATTCTAATTTTTTTCATCAGAATTCTCAGTTTACATCTCACAATTCTCTTTTTTCCCCTCAGAATTCTGTTCACATCTCACAATTAAATTTTTTTCCCCCAGAATTCTCAGTTTACATCTCGCAATTCTATTTTTTCCCCCTCAGAATTCTCAGTTTACATCTCGCAATTCTAACTTTTTCCCCCAGAATTCTCGTTTACATCTCACAATTCTATTGTAACTTTTCCCCCCAGAATTATCAGTTTACATCTCTCAATTCTGACTTTTTTCCTCTGAATTCTAAGTTTACATCTCGCAATTCTGATTTTTTTTTTTTTCCCCTCACAACTTCCATTTTTATTCTGTGGTGGAAATAGGCTTCCATGAAAACTTATCTTGGAGCGAACCAAAAGACTTGGTAAACAATTGATTTGCTCTGAGTTGCAGGTATTCGAGTCCCATTGTAATGGTTACACTGGATAAAATACTAAGTAAAGTGAAAATACACTTGTGCAATAATTAAATGTCCTTTATCATTATGTTTGCTGTTAGTGGTATAGTCCTCTGATACTTCCAGCCTTTCTCTCATTCTTTTTCTTTTGTCTTTCTTTAGGAGGTATTGGTGAAGGTCATAAGAAACGAAGGATTCTTCAGTCTGTGGAAGGGTTTCACTCCTTATTACGCTCGTCTTGGGCCGCACACAGTTCTTACCTTCATCTTCCTGGAGCAGATGAACAAGTTCTACAAGATCTATTTCCTTGACTCCTAGATATGTCCGTAGGGTCATCAGGGGACAGCACAGGCCATACTTCCACATTTTTTTTCTTTCACATCTGGGTCCCAGTATAGTTTCTGGTTTTAATGGTTGGTAACAGAACCAATGTATGCGCTGGATTGTGGCCCTTTGCTGTGGTGGTAACTGTGAAGACCATTTGGACTCTTATATTGCATAGACTGACTGACCACATTCTAGATTGAATTAAATGAAGGTATCGCTCACTCCAGTAAGACCCCTGTTTTAGTTTTAAATGATATTTATGTAATCCCCTCCTCCACACAAACTTTTCATCCTTGAAGGTCAACAACTGTACTGACTTGTCAACAGGCTTAGTTGTAACTTGTGAGGAATCTTTGTCAATACAGATGCAAACCTCTATTCTGAGTGAATTATAAAAGACTTTTCTCTTTCTTCTCATAATTATTTTGAATCTAACCAGCATACACACAATTGTGTGCAAAACACTAATGATCACAATGCAGTCACAACTTAGCCTCACATCAACATGTTCTACCATAAAGACAGCTTTGCATTGATCATTTGGTGATGTTTGCTTGCATTGAGCACAATTGACTGGAAGCTGTTACTGTGTAATAAAGATAATGAGGTGTGTAAAGGCCAATACCACACCAGCTGGCTGCTGTAGTACAGTTTGAGGTATTCATTTTCCAGTCTGAGGAACTGTGTGAAAGTAACAGTGCAATTATTGTGTTCTAAAATTTCGGGATGGACACTTGATCTTTTCTTCCTAGTATGTAAGCCATTAATTGCATTTTAGTTTTTAAAAGAGTGATATCAAACGAGACCAGTCACCAGCATTTAAAAATAATTATGCTTTTGCGGCTTTCATCAAGTAAAGAAACTAAATTGTGGTGTTTTTCATTTGCTTGCACTGCAGAAACAACAAATTATACAATTTAACAAAACTAGTAAATTAAACAGCGCTGTTTTAAGTAACACTTCATTAGTAAACTTGAAAATATGAGTTTAAAAAAATATTATATAAAATATTTACATACTTTGTTGTACTGCTGGGTGTAGAACAAAAGTTAATTCTTGCCTAATTTCTATATATGACATGCACCTAAAAAGTACAAATTGATAATTAACCAATTTTCCATTTAGAAACATAATTAATAAAACGTTTAAAAATATACATTTTTCTAACCTGATAGTAAAGCGAGTCAATACGTGAATAAATGAGCAGAATAAACGAAATAGTGTTTCTGAATGTGAATCATAAAATTTTTCGTTTTTGTAAAAGTTCTTGCATGATAAAAACCCATGTAGGAAGCATTTGCTCAACTATACAAATACTATTAATCGTACGCCTGGGTGTTTTACCTCAGATTCAGCCCATTTATTTGGATTTAATTACGTCATTGTGAAGTCCGCTGGTTGGACCACATTACCCAGAATGCAATTTCAAGAAAGCAGCATGCGGCGAGTTTCCGGTCAGAGTTAAACAGTCCAAAGATGGCGGACCTCCTGGGCTCGATCTTGAGCTCGATGGAAAAGCCTCCAACCCTTCACAACCAAGAAAGCCGACGGAAAGCTAGAGGTATAACGTTTTAATTCTACAAATACGCTTCCTTGTACGTTAGCTAAGAATATGAAACTGAGAATGTTTGTAGATTTGCAAGTGGAAATAAACAAATATCCGAGTGCCCTCTGCGACACCAACTCTGCAATAAATATAACCAATCACCGCTTGAGAAAATACATGTACGTACATACGTCATCTGTCGTTGAAAATCCTCTCGACGTCATATCTGGTTTGTTGATGCCTTTTGTGGTTGGTATTAAACTGTTTTATAAATAGGCCAGCCGTACATTTGCTGTGTCTTAAAAACACGAATAATCTATTGCAAGATAGCAGTTCAACAATAATAGCTAAGCTTTAATAAGCAATTTCATTGACAATGTTGAATACGTTTTCTAATTGTTCATTAACAATTCCAACGGTGCACATACAGGTGTTGCATAAGAAATAATTTTTGTAATTTTTATTGAATATTCTGATTATTTTTGTTCTTGTTGTGCAGAACAAGCAGCCAGACTGAAGAAGCTCGAGGAGGATGAGAAGAGAAAAAAAACTGAGTTTAGGAGAAAGGTACTGGCTTTATTTGTCTCACATAAACAGGAGCCTATGACATCGGACGCTTTTGTTCATGAAAATGAGTGTGATTTTTGCTTTAGATGGAGAAAGAGGTGTCAGACTTCATTCAGGACAGCAAACTGCAGAAGAAGAAATATGACCCGATGGGAAAGATCGAGAGAAGCATATTGTGAGTTCAATTCAGTGAAATTTTAGTATCATTGATATGCTATATTTTGAATAATATTTTTCAGTGTGCGTTTTAAATTTAGTTGATATTTTAGCTATTTGTTATTATTATTGTTTATGTTTTCTGTTAAGAATTTTTTTTTTATTTTAGTATATAAAATTAGTCAAAATGCTTTATGTATCATTGCTGTATTTATTATAAATGATTTATCCATGCACATAACAATTTTTTTAGATACATGTGCCCTTGTAAATCTTTAATCAAAATATGCATCACAATAAGGACAATACTATCACAACTTCTGCTTCATGCTGACTTTAAACTAAATGAAAATGAAAAATATTGTCTGCAGCTCGTGCTTAAAATAAACACAATGATATTGTCCTTTACTCTCTATTTTTGTTATAAATTTCTTAAGACATGATGAAGTCTTCTGCAAAGTAAACTACATGCTTATAGAAGCGTGTTTGCAGATACTTTTGATTATCGAGTTCAATTCCTAGATTAGGGTTACATTTGATGCCCTTCAGAATGGCATAAGAGTTCTCAGAGTCTATAACATTACCAGCTGTGATTAATCAATGTCAAAATACATTTATTTTAAATGCAATCTGCTATTCTAGTTTAATATTAAGAAACGACTATATAAGCCATGTCTTGTTTTTTTGCTTGATGTACCGTACAGTTCATGCTAACGCCTCCACTTCTCTCAGGCATGATGTAGCCGAGGTCGCAGGGCTGTCGTCCTTTTCCTTTGGTGAGGATGAAGAGAGCAGATACGTCATGCTGTTTAAAAAGGTATGTATTGAAGACAAGGATCTTTGTAAATATGTTTTCTTGTGTTGTACATCGACATTTTTTAATTCTGTTCGCACCAGAGTTATTATAGTTAGCTGAAATGAAAAAAAAAAAAACTGTTAAAAAATGTTTTTTTTTTGTTGCTTGAAATAAAATAAATGTTTACAAAAATAAAATTTAAGTTTTTTATATAATTTATATTTCAGCTCAATATTAGTCATTTTCATTGTTTTACTTGATGTGCAAAAATAACTCGAACAAAAAAATAATAAAAACCATATAGACATTTAAAAAGTGGCAAAAAATTCTAAACAAAATAATAAAAATACAAATGGAAAATAAGACATTCTTGCAATTATTTCTACAGCGCACAGCGCACCACAGAATGAAAAATAAAAAAGGTAACTCTAACTTTTTATCTCACAATTCTCACTTTTTTTTCTCACATTTGCAAGATTTAAAGTCCCAATTGCGTGATAAAAAGTCGCAATTGCATGTTGTAAAGTCAGAATTGCGAGATATAAAGTCAGAATTGATTAATATAAAGTCGCAATTGCATGTAATAAAGTCAGAATTGCAAGATATAAAGTCAGAATTGATTGATATAAAGTCGCAATTGTGTGTTGTAAAGTCAGAATTGATTAATATAAAGTCGTGATTGCATCTTATAAAGTCAGAATTGCGAGATATAAAGTCAGAATTGATTGATATACAGTCGCAATTGTGTGAAAGTCAGAATTTATTGATATAAAGTCGCAATTGCGTGTTACAAAATCGCAATTGCGTGTTATAAAGTCAGAATTGCGAGATTCTTCTCTGAGGGGGGAAAAGTTAGTCTTTTTTCCCCTTAGAATTGGCCTGATAACTCGCAATTGCTAGTTTATATCTCACAATTCTGAGAAAAGATGTCAGAGTTTCGAGATATAAACTCATAATTATGCGTTATAAAGTCAGAATTGCGAGATATAAACTCGCAATTGTGAGAAAAAAACTATTTTTTTCTCGCAATTGTGACTTTATTTCTCAGAATAGCAACTTTATATCTCGCAATTGCGACTTTATTTCTCACAATTCTGACTTCATATCTCGCAATTGTGAGATAAAAAGTCGCAATTATTTTTTTATTCTGTGGTGGAAACAAGCTTCCAAATAAACAGGAAAACTGTACATTATGCAAAATACATAAATTATGTAACAACTTAAATTTCAGCTATAAAGCAGATTTACAGAAGGAAATAGTGTCATTATCTACTTCAAGTCAGTTCAGTGTTGATTCAATTAACTTCAGTAATTGTGTTAATTTTGCAAACTTTGTCAATTATGAAACAAATATGATTTAGGCTATAAAGCGGCTCTACAGAAGACAATAGTGCCCTCATTCAGCTCAATTTAGTTCAAGTTTTTTCCTCTGAATATTAACGTTCTTTTAAACCCCAACTGACTAAGCCAAAATGGACACTGGGAAGGAGCCAAAACTACTAGGGGTGTGACAATGTATCGTGTCACAATACAAAAATGCAACAATATATCATGGATAGTGACAATATTTATTGTGTACAGTTCACCCAAAATAAAATTACTGTGTGAGGGGGAAAAAATCTAGTATCAGTGCTATATATGATGTATAATAATGCAATGGGGGGATATTTGTGGGTCCTGATTATGCCAAATGTCTGATGTTACCAGTAAAAAGTGACCAGCATTATTTTAAATATGTCTAGTCAGTGAATCAAGCATATTCGTCTAAAATAATTATGTATTTTCAGCTTCAGAATCATGAATATTTTATTATTGTCCTGTGCATTGGGTTTCCAGCACCAAACCCAAGCCCATTCATTTACACCCACAATGTAGCATTATACCACATTTAGCATTTTAACCAACAGTCAATATATATAAAAAAAAATGTGGTAACCTTTTATCATATGTCTTGGAGTATCGCAATAATATCGTAATGTAAGTTCAGTATCGTGATATGTTTTGAATTGTGAGTAATTACACCCTTAAAAACTACCTCAAATGTGACAGTAGTGAGAAAAGAAAAAAAAACTCTATTCTGAATTACCGAACACTGTGTATTAATGCTTAGTGTGTTTGGTTTTGAAGGAGTTTGCACCATCAGATGAAGAACTGGAGGCTTATCGCAAAGGTGAGGAGTGGGACCCGCAGAAAGCTGAGGAGAGGCGTCGACTAAAGGTAAGAGGACGTCCATACTGAAAACTGCAAGTTAGGCTTCAAAACCTCAAAACATAAGATAAGCAGAGAAAGTCATTCTGTAATCGTATAGAGCTTTGTTATGAATTAAAGGGATAGTTCACTTTGCTAAAACATACCAAAAATTAATTTCATAGTGAACTATCCCTTTAATACAATATTTCTGTTGGGAAGTATCTGGCTAATCGGATATCCTGTATTTTACTAATTCTTCAAACACATATTTACATGTTTTGCTGTACTCTCTTCAGGAAAAGGCTGCGCTGGAGATGGAAGCAGCCAGTCACAGTGTGAAGAGGCCCGCGTCGCCCAACTCAAACTACAGAGACAAATACAGCCATCTGATAGGAACGTCTGCTGCTAAAGACGCCGCACACACGCTGGAGGCCAACCAGGCATATGGCTGTGGTGTGTACTATGTTTAAAGGATCTAAACACTTAGTAAAAACACTTTAAATCTATATCACGCAGCTCTGTGTCAAGTGAAGTATTGCACATTTAGTGAATTTTACACTTGAATTAGTTATCCCCGGGTAAGTATAATCCTGGGTTATCTTGCGTCACGTTTCGCACTGCTCATGCTTTACCCGGGGTTAAAGGAGTAGTTCACTTTTGAAAAAACTTTTGCTGATAATTTACTCACCCCCATGTCATCCAAGATGTCCACGTCTTTCTTTCTTCAGGCGAAAAGAAATTAAGGTTTTTTGATGAAAACATTCCAGGATTTTCTCCATATAATGGACTTCAATGGGAACCAAACGGTTCAAGGTCCAAAAGACAGTTTCAGTGCAAACTGCAAACTGTTCAAAGGGCTTTAAACGATTCCAGACGATGAATAAGGGTCTTATTAAGCGAAACGAGCGCTCGTTTTATAAATAAATAACAAAGTTTAAGTTTTATAAGCTCAAACGCTCGCCTTGCTCTGTTCTGTAACGCACTCCTGTTCGAACTCGTTCATCAAAATGAACATATCTTTTTCCGAGTCATTTGGTTAATTCGGCGAAAGAAACGAACGAATTGATTCGGAAAAAGATTTGTTCATTTTGTTGAACGAGTTCGAACAGGAGAGTCACGAACGTGCACCACAGAACAGAGCAAGGCGAGCGTTTGAGCTTATAAAACTTCAACTTTGTTATTTTTTAAAAAAATGAGCGATCGTTTCGCTTGATAAGACCCTTATTTATCGTCTGGAAACGTTTAAAGCCCTTTGAACAAGTTCGCAGTTTGTACTGAAAGTTTCTTTTGGACCTTGAACCGTTTGGTTCCCATTGAAGTCCATTATATGGAGAAAAATCCTGGAACATTTTCATTAAAAACCTTAATTTCTTTTCGACTGAAGAAAGAAAGACATGGACGTCTTGGATGACATGGGGGTGAGTAAATTATCAGCAAAAGTTTTTTGAAAAGTGAACTACTCCTTTAACAAATAATCCTGGTTATTCATAAAATGCTATTCCTACTGCGACCAGAAACATGTAACCGACTCGCCTGGCCTCTTACCATGAGATCACAAAACTTGTTGTTTAACAGACGTAAACAACATAGACAATAATTACCAAATTTCCTGTATCAATAGAAGTAAATCAGTTTTGGTCATGTGTGTTTACTCTCATTGTTACAGTTCCTGTGGCCAATAAGAGAGACACTCGCTCCATTGAGGAAGCCATGAATGAGATCCGAGCCAAAAAAAGGCAGAAGAAAGGCGAGGAAGAAGGAGCTGGCAGCGGTGTGTGAGAGGCGCATGTGTGTGTGTGTGTGTGTGATCATTTGGGTGATAGAACAGTATTTTACTCATATGACAAAGTTTTACATAAACAGCAGGGTTTGGTAAAGATGAATTTATGCACATAAAGGCAGTCCAGAACTGCCACAGTATAAGCGCACTGTTCAGAAATGCTTTGAACTATATTACTGTCCCATATTATGTGTTTTTAAGGGTCATTATTAGAATAAACGGAAACTGTTTAAGGAAGCAAATCCTTGTGTATTTTGGCATGGTGACCTCTATTTAATATAAGTTATCTGTTAAAACACATTTGGTTTTATTATAGTTTTCATTTGCATTTCCATTGATTAAAACAGTCATATTTATTGCCTTGACATAACTGGTAGTTTTGACTCTATGGATATTTTAATCGTGTTTATTTTAAGTCATGAGACAGCATGTCCTTAAACTAGTAGTTATTTCTTGTAGCTGTTCTGTTTTAAATAAATTTGGTTAAGGATATGTTTTAAGTGTACATTGTGTCTTTTATACACAGGTGTTGAATCCAGTCTGTTTGCTTAGTTTGAGCTCTAATAAGCATATGTATCTCATCTGTGTTTAACATCTTTTGTCCATTTACACTGGCTAATCATCATTCTGGGTCATGGACCATGACTAGATGTATCAAATATGATGCTAATTTGTATTTAAGCCTAATGTAATGTCATAAAAATGTTTCAAAATAAAGATAAAGACAAATCGTTTTCCCAGTCGCTTTACTGACTGCCTGGTGATGGTTTACCCTTTATTTACCCTTCAAAAATCGTGCATATGCCATGAAGTGTAATTTTCCTGGTTATTTATTATATTTACTAACATTTTAAACCCTTACCCTATTTACGTTTTTTAAACATTTGACTTAAAGGAGTAGTTCACTTTTAAAAAAAAACTTTTGCTGATAATTTACTCACCCCCATGTCATCCAAGTTGTCCATGTCTTTCTTTCTTCAGTCATAAAGAAATTAAGGTTTTTGATGAAAACATTCCAGGATTTTCTCCATATAATGGACTTCATTGGGAACCAAACGGTTCAAGGTCCAAATGAGAGTTTCAGTGCAGCTTCAAAGGGCTTTAAACGACACCAGACGATGAATAAGGGTCTTATGAAGTGAAACGATCGCTCATTTAAAAACTAAATAAAAAAGTTTTAAGTTTTATAAGCTCAAATGCTCGCCTTGTTCTGTTCTGTGATGAGCGTTCGTGACTCTCCTGTTCGAACTCGTTCAAAACAAATGTTTTTTCGAGTCATGACTCGAAGAGTCCTAGATAAGACCCTTATTCATCGTCTGGTGTCGTTTAAAGCCCTTTGAAGCTGCACTGAAACTCTCATTTGGACCGTGAACCGTTTGGTTCCCAATGAAGTCCATTATATGGAGAAAAATCTGGAATGTTTTCATCAAAAACCTTAATTTCTTTTCGACTGAAGAAAGAAAGACATGGACATCTTGGGTGACATGGGGGTGAGTAAATTATCAGAAAAAGATTTTTTAAAGTGAACAACTCCTTTAATAACTTCTCTCACACTGCACTTCCTTCATGAATCCCACGGACCCTCATTTGAAATCTCAGTCATCGGTATCGCGATACTTGCAGTTCTCGCACTTCCTGTTGGCCTTACAGGATTGTAAACAAACGTGAGATCGTAGTCCCACGAAGGGTCGAATCAGCCAAACATCCAGAGAAACCGATACAAATCAATGAGCTATGAGCTTCGAGAAGGATCTTTTGGAGGAATAAGCGCCATTACAGCTGAATCAAAGCAACGACGCGAGAGGAAGACTAACGTTAGCTGTCCGCTAAGGAAGACGAGTGATTAGCCAGCTAGCTGGCAGTCGCTTGTACAGTGAGTAAACAATTACAAACTAACAGACACCTTGCCATTGTGTTACATTACAAACGGCACTCTAACGTTTAGCGCTCCATTGTACTTTCCAAAATATAATTTGTTTTTCAGAAATAGTTTTTTCAATGAAACCAAAAGAGTCGGGAAGTAACGTTAACGTTAGCTTGAAGGATGATCGATTCATCATGACGCAATTATTATATTTCCTACATTATCATAGTAGAGAGGAATTTGGAGATTTTATTTTTGTTTACTGTTTGATGTCTGTGTGTCAGTACTCACGGGTTGTTATTGGTTGCAATTAAGTTGTAATTGTTGGTTATAAAGTCTGTGCTGTTGCTCACTAGCTATAAAGTCGTGTTAAAACATTACTAGTTTTAATGATCTATGAGTGCTGACTTGTGCGAAAAAACGCTATTTTGTTTTACTATTCCCCGTAGTTTTATAGGGCTTGACAATAAAATGCGTAAAGAAAGTCACATGTCAGTTTTGAAGTCATTAAACACTAACAGAAAAATAAGGCTATGGTATTGCAAGCAATAAGCATTAGGTCAGGAGATTATCACTATTTTAAGTAGAATAATGTTGATGATTAAATGGCAAACTGATGTTAAATCTTCAACGAAAAACAACTAATTTGCTGTTTACAATAATCGACTAACGGCTGAATGCTAGGCGATTAATCGCTCTTGTTAAGTGTTATTTAGTGACAACATTCAGTGTAGCAGAATCACATCTGAACAATTGTATGAATGGTTTCTTGTTTATTCACAAAACAACACAAATATGCCGTTTGCAAATCTAGAAAGACTGCTCTTCATTTGAGCCACCAGATACTAAACATGTTGGGTGACTCAGACACACCTATCTATTGTTTTTTATTGAATTGAAACGAATGCTTATGTTGTGGTTTCACCCATACATGTTTATGAATTAACCCCATTAAAAGTAGATCTTTACATTGGCATTAAACCTGTTATAGGCTAGTCATCTGTAAAGTACTTGCTGTAGTTGGTTTCACTTCCCGTGAGTCATTTAAACAGCTGATTTGTCTGTGTAGAAACACTTGAAATTACTGAATGTGCTCAGTGTGTTTTACAGGCAGGATTATTCATTTATTGGAGAGCTGACGTGTAATTCTCAAAATGCTAAAATTATTTTGACAAAGAAGTGCAGGAAGCCATTAAAGCTTCTCTGTTGATAAATCGCTTCTCATTGCAAGTATGTGAAGATGGCTGGTACATGTTGCGTTCAGGTTAAAGTGACCCAGATGCAGAGATGGAGTTTGTGTTGAGCATTTACTGTGAATCGAGACGCTGGAAACACTGGCCTATTTAGTTTAGTTAAACCGCAACCTTTGCAGTTTAATAATTGCTTCAAGCCATATTGCAAGTCATTTCTTTTATTAGATTAGCATGCTGTTTGAATAGAAATAGGAAACTATTTAAAAACAGGAAACTGGTTTTGTCAGAACATTGAAGTCAGCATGAAATGAAGATTGATGAAAATCTATTTTGTAAATGCATGCTATTATCGTATTGTGAATAATTCATCTGTGCATGTTTTCATTTAAAAAAAAGTATTTATTTACTTAAATGATAATGTATAATCAAAATGTCACAACTCCTCCTTCGTATACTATGGCAAGCTGTTTTAACTTTTATTCATTTCCAGGATATGAATTCTTGATATCAACAATTATATTTTTGATGTCAATAATTCAGTTGTTGATATCAACAATTACATTTTTGATATCAAAAATTGAATTCTTGATATCAACAATTGTATTTCCACTTGTGAAATGTCACCATAGGCTGCCATTCAAAACCAATTGTTGATATCAAGAATAGTTTTTTTACTAGTTGAAATTGCAATTTTACATATCAGAAATACAATCATTACTAGTAAAAACCTTTATTTTTGATGTCAAGAATTCAATTGTCTATTCTTGATATTCAAAATTTAATTGCTACTAGTAACAATGTTTGTTTTTGATATCAAGAATTCAATTTTTACTAGTGATAATGATAATTTCTGATATCATGAATGTGATTGCTACTAGTAAGAAAGCCATTTTAGATATCTGAAATAATATTGATATCAAATACATTTTCAGATATCAAAAATGATCATTTTTATTAGTACCAATTGAATTGTTGATATCAAGAATAGACATTTCAACTAGTGACAAATTGACAATTTAATTATTGAAATCAGGAATTTGCATTTTTACTAGTTACAATATAATTGTATGTTTTGTAATTGTACAGTGTTATTGGTATCAAAAATGATATTTCTACTAGTAAAAAATACATTTTTGATATCAACAATTTATTTTGAATGGCAGCAGCCTATGGTGACATTTCACTAGTGAAAATACAATTACAGATATCAGCAATTAAATTGTTGATATCAAGCATTCATATCCTGGAAATGAATAAAAGCTATACTAATTTTTTTTTTATCCTTTACGCTTGGATATACATCACAAAATAGAAGAAAAGTTCAGTTTCATCATCGACTTTAAAAGCTAATTAGCGGGTCGCTGTGGTAATATTAATCAAACAGATCAAATCATTCATAGTTTCATTCATGTTATTATTAGCACAGATCAGGCGCTTACAAAACTGCTGATAGTCATGACTTCCTCCTGAGGGAAGAAAAGTTTTATAATTTGATATAGAGTTGAAATGAGCTTTCTTAGAAATAAAAGTGATGTACTTAACAGACTGAACTATTTCTTACTTTTCTTTGTCTAATTTCTTTAGCCGTTGCTTATTGAACAATTTGGTCATTAATGTTGAAGTTTGTTAACTCATGAATCTATATGCAGGTCTTCATCGCCCCTCATCAGGATGGTGTGTGTGGGGACTCGACTGGGCGTCTCGCTCCTGGTCTTATGCTTCACTCTGGCACCCTCTCCTGGTCAGGCATATATATATGCTGTAAGTGTCAGCTTTCAGAATTATTAAAGGAGTAGTTCACTTTTGCTGATTATTTACTCACCCCCATGTCATCCAAGTTGTCCATGTCTTTCTTTCTTCAGTCGAAAAGAAATTAAGGTTTTTGATGAAAACATTCCAGCATTTTTCTCCATATAATGGGCTTCAATGGGAACCAAATGTCCTCCGTGACTCTCCTATTCGAACTCGTTCATCAAAATGAACAAATCTTTTTTCGAGTCATTTGGTTCATTCAACAAACGAAACGAACAAATTGACTCGGAAAAAGATTTGTTCATTTTGACGAACGAGTTCGAACAGGAGAGTCACGGACGCTCATCACAGAACAGAGCAAGGCGAGCATTTGAGCTTATAAAACTTAAAATTTGTTATTTATTTTTGAAATGAGCGATCGTTTCGCTAGATAAGACCCTTATTCATTGTCTGGTGTCGTTTAAAGCCCTCTGAAGCTGCACTGAAACTCTCATTTGGACCTTGAACCGTTTGGTTCCCATTGAAGTCCATTATATGGAGAAAATCCTGGAATGTTTTCATCAAAAACCTTCATTTCTTTTTGACTGAAGAAAGAACGACATCTTGGATGACATGGGGGTGAGTAAATTATCAGCAAAAGTTTTTTGAAAAGTGAACTACTTATTGGTTTTAGAGACTGTATGGCACAGAGTATTTGGTTGCATGAAATGTACACGCTTCACCTTTTTACAATCAATATTAATTTATTAATGTGGGTTGTTTGATTGCTCTATAATGTTTTTGTACTGCATTAGCTAATGGACTCTATTTTATTCCATGCAGCATTACAGTAACATGACCTCCATGCTGTTTGAAGATCTGCCTTCTCTCTTTGGCTCTCCCCTGCCAAAAGATGGACTCAGTGTAATGAATCCCTGCTTCTGGACTTGTAGTTTTACTCAGTAACTAACTAATGTTATTGCATTAGCGGGACTGACTTCTCTCTCTCTCTCTCTATCCCCCAGGGTGTGCTGGTTGAAGCTCGTCCTCAGAACGCTTGCGCACCTATAGATCCTCCTCCAGTTTCTCCCACACCCTCAGATCCCACTACAAACAGCTCTACAAAATACATTGTCCTCATTCGACGCTACGACTGTAACTTTGATATCAAGGTTAATGCACAGCAAAGCTATTCTAATAAATGAAAAAATATATTGTGTAAATGTACATATGCACATAAGTGCTAATTATATGATTTGGCCAAAGAAATGTCACTCATCCAGACTTTGATTAGTCGATAATGAACAACAGAAAAAGTGAGTAATATTGTTTATGTTTTGATTTTTGGGTCTTCTAGGTGCTCCATGCACAGCAGGCCGGTTACAGTGCTGCCATAGTTCACAACATGTTCTCTAATTCACTTCTCAGTATGGGATCCAGCAATGGTGAGAGAGGCACACACACATGCACTGCTTGTATTGAACAATTATGGGAAATAAACTCTTGGTTTGGTTGAATAGGACTGTATATTGAAATTTGCAAAATTCGAAAGAAGAGGGACCCACATCATCACACACCTTCCACCACATCTAGAGATTGGCATGGTTTTACTTCAGTTAGCCTAATAGCTGGTTTGATTTGCATTAAAAAGATGATCTTATGGAAAGTACCCCATGCCAACAATCTCTAGGTGTGGTGATGTGGGTCCCTCTTCTTTCGAATTTTGCCAATTTCAATATACAGTCCTATTCAAAATGGTTTGTGACATTGTTTTTGTATACTTTATCATCCTCGGAATCTGTTTTGTTTCTTTTTAGACACCATCGCGGATGGGATCGAGATTCCCTCTGTGTTCACAAGCTACTATGCCTCTCAAATACTGCGCAGCTTTATCATACCAGAGAAAGGGTGAGAATAAAACAGGCCACAAATTCTTAAACACACATTTAATACAGATACATAAATACAACTAGTCATTTGGACACACTTACTCCTTTATAATAATTATTATACCTGTTCTTTGTTTAATATTTAGTGACCAAAGCTATGAAATAACAAAAATGGGCGTCAAGTGTGCTCCTAATTTGGAAAATTTAGGAGCACATAAAAATATCAAAACATTATTTTTTTCTTAATATAGGGAAACAAGGACAACTTTACAAAATGGTTTAATTTATCTGAATACGAAAAGTACACTAGTCTTACTGATATTTTTTTGTATTTAATAAATATGAAATTCTGTATACTCTAAAAAACACTATAGAGCTAAATGCCAGATTTTGTTACCTAAATACCAATAATAACCAGAAAAAAAAATTCCTGCATAATGTGGGAAGTTTATTCTAAACAAGTCCAAAATATTTAGGGACTCTTATTTTGACATGTCTTTATTAATTTCATCATTATTAAAACATATGAGTGAGATAACATTATGCGCTCTTACAACTATCTAAGACATTACAAAACAAACACCATAAAGTAAACATTGTAATATATATGAATACATAATTCACAATTCCTTTCATTATGTATTAATAATATGAATGCATAATTCATCAACAGTAGCAGATCATAAGCAATCTCTTGACTTAAATGCACAGGGCAAACCGTTCTTGTCTGTCAGTCATATAATGGAGGTCTATGGTCACCACCTCAAAGAGCATGAACAGAGAAGTCCAAATTAAACATGATTTAATGACTCGTAAATGTAAGTACACATTGATGGCCTAAGACACGAAACGAGCGGTTTGTGTGAGAAAACGAACAGTATTTATATCGATTTTACCTCTTGTAATCACAGCCACGTCCAAGTGATCTGAAGGCGCGGGAGCTTTGTGACTAAAAACGATATAAATACTGATCGTTTTCTCACATAAACCGCCTGTTTCATGTCTTAGGCCATCAATGTGTACTTTTCAGTGCATGCTCTTTGAGGTGGTGACCATAGACCTCCATTATATGACCGACAGACAAGAACGGTTTGACCTAAAAATATCAAAATTGAAAATACTGTGGAAACAAAGACACCTACATCTTGGATGCCCTTGAGGTAAGCTAAAACATACCAAAAAATAATTTCAAAGTGAACTATCCCTTTAAAACTGAATTATTAAAGACCTGCAGGAACCTGATTTTTATGTACTCCTAAATACATTTTATAGTTCACACACATCTATTTTTAGACGATGCCTGCACTGTTCCACCCTGGTGTGGTGATTATGTAGCGACCGTCAACAAATAAATAAATAAATTTAAAAAATCGTATATTTAAACACTTTGAAACTCTTTGGGTAGTTTACAGTATTAAGAAAAGTTCTTAACTATATTCCACTTTAACTAGTCATACACTTATTAAGAAGAAGAAAAAACAATAATGAGCATCACAATAATGTCCAAACTTCCAAGTGGCATATACACACTCATTTTGAATGATTTTATACAGCTTGCCAGCCTCAGGGGCATAGGTTGTTCATGTATGTTATCGTGTGTGTAACTTTTGTTGCTGACTCACTTTGCTGCAGGGCCTATGTGATCCTGAAGCCCGAGTTCTCCTTTCCTCTGTCCTACTATCTCATCCCCTTCACTGGAGTCGTCGGCATGATCATCATTGTCATGGTCGTCATACTGGTCAGTGCTGCCTTGACTTCTTTATAAATGTCTTGGGATTACAGGTGTCTAGAACATTATTTACGTTTTTATCACATATATTGTAATGATAATATGAAATGCTGTGTATATTCTTACACTAGTATTTTGTAGTACACTAGTCAACTCACCTAAACCCACATTTATTTATTTATTTTTTCTAATGGAACACAAAAAGAGAAGATTTACTAGAGTACCAGATGTTTTCAGTTTCCATTACAGTGATTGCAGCTTTTAGGAAAGTCTGAAAAAAAGTGTAGAGCATAGTTTTTCTTTCTACTGTTTGGAATAGTTTCACATCCGGAGTGCCTTTATGATGGCAAAAAAATGTTCTCTAGTTTGGCGTCTATGTAGGATTTGTAAAAGAGCCGATGATATGTTCATTGGTGGGTGATGATATATGTGTTTGGTCCAGGTTGTGCGGTGCGTGCAGCACAGGAAGAGACTTCGGAAAAACAGACTCTCCAAAGAACAGCTGAAGAAAATCCCCACTCACAAGTTTGTTAAAGGTGAGCGAAAGAGAGTTTGTTAATAGTCTGGGTTCAATGCCTCCAACAAAAACACTTTTACTGTAATGCACACTTTTGCTTATGAATATGGTCAGGTTTGCAAACCAAACATGAAAAAAAACCATAGCATAGCTAAAGAAATGCATTGCCACTGCCAGTGTTGGGTAAGTTACTCTAAAAAAGTAATTAATTACTAGTTACTAATTACCTGTTTCAAGATTACTGTACTAATTACTCTCTAAAAAGTATTTAATTACTTTTAATTACTAAATCCCATATCAATCTCAACCAGCTGAATAATACAAGGATAGACATGAATCTGTTTTAATTCTTTCTAATAAATACTATAAAATTGCATGAATTATCCTTAAACTGACCAAGATACTGTAAACAGTACTTTTTAGCATCAGACAAAACATTTTGATATTAAACCCACTATTGTTTTATGTCTGATCTCATGACATTTCACACTTTTTTCATACATATTTTACAATAATTCATACGAATTTGTACGAGTGCGGTCGTACGATTTAGACACCTCATAAAATGCATACGAATCGCCGTGAGGTCGGATTGATGCACAGTATTTACCTTAATTACATCAGAAGTAACTAATTAAAGTAATCGCTTACTTTACATTTTCAAGGGAAAAGTAATCTAATTACTTAGTAATTAGTTACACCCAACACTGGCCACTGCTAGTTGCAAATAATAGAAGTTCAGCTTTTTTTCATAAAATCATGTTTGGCTGCTCTAAAGATGATAATTAACAGCACTGGATGTCAGCACGTGTCACATGTAGGAGTTTGCACCACATACTCGAACAAAGAAAACTCACTGATCACTGATGGGTTCTTCTCATAGCAAAGCATGATTGTTCTACCGGAACATCTAACACTTCAATAATGCCATATTTTTCTCAGGTGACAAGTATGATGTGTGCGCGATTTGCTTAGATGAATATGAAGAAGGAGATAAGCTGAGAGTGCTGCCGTGTTCACATGGTAAGTGAGCTGCTCCATCATCTGTGTGAGCAGTGTGTATGTGTGTGTTGTAGTGTGTTGTCTTTATTCTTTCTCTCTAATAAGCATATCTAAAGTATGGATTTTGAAGTTAAAGTGAAAATAAGTAAATGTTTCAGGTCAGGTATGTGTGTGTGTGTATATATATATATATATATATATATATAATATATATATACATGTGTATATATATATATATATATATAATATATATATATATATATATATTAGAGCCCGACCGATAAAGGATTTTGAAGGCTGATACCGATACAAATATTTTTGGGTTTTAAAATCCGATATTCCGATATATCGGCCGATATTTTATTTATTTGTTTATTTTTTAAACTGGACATGATAGTCACAAATTTTGTCATGCTTATTTGAGTTAAGAGAACTGATGGGGATGTTCTTTTAATTGTTATTCAAGCAATGTATGTATCGTGACCAACTCAACGAGTGTTGCCAACAGGAACGGTGTAGAGTGCCCTCTGGTGGACAAACTATACAACTCCAACACTCATGACATGGTTCAAGCGTTTTTCGTCCGTTTTTATTTTATTTTTGAAATATTCATTTATAGGCCATTATAACTGCCGATACCGATTGTTTGGAAAATGCCTAATATCGGCTGATAATATCGGTCTGCTGATATATCGGTCTGGCTCTAATATATATATATATATTTATATACTACCGGAGGCTGCTTTATTTGATGGAAAAAAACAACAACAAACAGTAATATTGTGAAATATTATGACAATTTAAAATGATTGTTTTCTATTTTAATATACTTTAAAATGTAAATAGAACGCTGAATTTTCAACATCATTACTGTTGCTGATTACACTGTCACATGATCCTTCAGAAATCATTCTAATATGCTGATTTTATGCTTAAAAAACAAAAGTTATAATTTTCAATGTTTAAAACAGTCGTGTACCATTTTACCCCCAAAATTCTATGATGAATAGAAAGTTCAAAAGAACAGCATTTATTTAAAATATAATCTTTTCTAACATTATAATTGTCTTTACTGTAACTTTTAATCGATTTAACTAATCCTTGATGAATAAAAGTATTTTCTAATTTCTTTTCCCCAAAAATAAAAAATAAATTCTTACTGCCCCCAAACTTTTGAATGGTAGTGATTAATGTTACAAAAGCTTTCCATTTCAGATCAATTCTGTTCTTTTGAACTTTCTATTCAACAAATAGCCCTGTTTTCAACATGGACAATAATCATAAATGTTTCTTGAGCATCATATTATAATAATTTCTGTAGGATCATGTGACACTGAAGACTGGAGTAATGATGATCACAGGAATAAATTACACTTCACTATATATTCACATAGAAAACCACTGTTTTAAATTGTAATAATATTTCACAATAATACTGTTTTTTTGTATTTTTTATCAAATAAAGCAGCCTTGGTGAGCAGAAGAGACTTCTTTTAAAAACATAAAAAATCTTACCGATCTAAAACTTTTGACCGGTAGTGTGTATATATATATATATCATTATCATAATAGAAGATTTTGGTCATCTCATGCATCTGGCTTGAATTTGGTACAGCCAAGGGAGGAAATTATATTCATTGTTTTCCACACATAATTCAGAAAACGGCAAAGTGACATGCATATTTTTTTTTTTCATTCAAGAGTTCATTTTTGTCCCTGTTTTTTTTTTTTTGCTTCCATCATTCAGCTTACCACTGCAAGTGTGTGGACCCCTGGCTCACCCTAACCAAGAAAACCTGCCCAGTGTGCAAGCAGCGCGTGACCCGTCCCAACCCAGAAAACTCGGAGTCTTCAGATTCGGAGGAAGAGGCGGGGCCGCGCGAGGCCGGCGGGGAAGAGGACGGAGCGATCAGTGAGGCTGACTCTGAACGCACCCCTCTCCTCCGCTCATCCAACCCCGCGTCCCCCGCCTCCTCCAGCCCGCCTCCCAACTACTCCTCCACCGAAGCCGCGGCTACGGTCACAACCTCCGCTCAGTGCTTGCCACACACACCGCAGCACGACGAGTACTGCACACCCGTAGAGGACTCGGATGAAGGTACTGATGATGATGAGGAGGGTCACCCCTCGGATAGCGACACCACAGAGCTCATCGGACGCGGCGCATTACGAGTCTGATTTAAAAACTACCCCTTTATCTCGGTCACTTAGGTCGTGTGTGTATCGCAGAGGTGGATTTTTACACCCAGTCTCACTGAGATTACACGTCCATCCCATTAGTCCTAGCTAGTGCATCCAACACTAAACGGAAAATGTGCAAAATTTTACACTTCCTGACAAAAAATACAGATTGGCGTGGTTCACAAAATCATGTGTCCTCTTAATATCACAGTTAAAGGTCATGAATGAAACATCATTTACTCATTTTCATGTCATTCCAAACCCATATTCATTTCTTATTTCCGTGGAGCACAGTAACAACACTGCACCCTTGTATTTTATCGACACCTATTTCAGGTTTTGGAGGCTCTACTAATGAGCTGATTAGGGGAACACTGTTCAATCCTAGACATGTGTGAAGCCTGAATATGCTTAATTCTAAGATTTCTGATTTTATAGCTGTGGTGCAGGGGCAGATTTTCAGTCATTGATGATTTAAGGACTATTTCATCCAAAAATGAACACGTCGTTCCAAACCCACGAGACTTGTATTGAAAGTCCACACAACCAAAACTTTCATGCATTGCAACAAAAAGATATTGTGAACATAATCCATATGAATTGAGTGGTTTATAATCCAAGTCTCACTTCATAGGAACAGATTCAATTTAGGCTTTTATTCAGATATAAATGTTGATTACGTACTTAGAGCACATCAAAACAAAATATGATACTTGATTGACACGCAAGTTTGTGATGTGCATGTATGTGTGTTGATGTTTTTTGCATATGGATTGTGTTTACAATCTCTTTATGAACTTTTTTTGATGTGTTAGTTTTGGTGTTACAGACTTAAAGTGGAGGGACAGAAATCGTTCAGGTTTCATTCAAAATCTTCATTTGTCTTACAGGTTTGGAACGACATATGGGTGAGTGATTAATGACAGAATTAACATTTTTGGGTGAATATGCTTTAGTAGTAGGAGTAGTTCACTTTTCAAAAAACGTTTGCTGATAATTTACTCACCCCCATGTCATCCAAGATGTCCATGTCTTTCTTTCTTCAGTCGAAAAGAAATTAAGGTTTTTGATGAAAACATTCCAGGATTTTCTCCATATAATGGACTTCAATGGGAACCAAACGGTTCAAGGTCCAAAAGAGTTTTAGTACAAACTACAAACTGTTCAAAGGGCTTTAAATGATTCCAGACGATGAATAAGGGTCTTATCAAGCGAAACGATCGCTCATTTAAAAAAAAAAAAAGTTTTATAAGCTCAAATACTCGCCTTGCTCTGTTCTGTGATGCGCGTTCGTGATTCTCCTGTTCGAACTCGTTTATCAAAATGAACGAATCTTTTTTTAGTGCCATTTGGTTCATTCAACGAACGAAATGAACGAGTTGACTCGGAAAAGATTCGTTCATTTTGATGAACAAGTTTGAACAGGAGAGTCACAAACGAGCATTTGAACTTATAAAATTAAACGTTGCTTTTTTTTTAAAATGAGCGATCGTTTCGCTTGATAAGACCCTTATTCATCGTCTGGAATCGTTTAAAGCCCTTTGAACAGTTCGCAGTTTGCACCGAAACTCTCATTTGGACCTTGAACCGCTTGGTTCCCAATGAAGTCCATTATGTGGAGAAAAATGCTGGAATGTTTTCATCAAAAACTTTAATTTCTTTTCAACTGAAGAAAGAAAGACATGGACATCTTGGATGACATGGGGGTGAGTAAATTATCAGCAAATGTTTTTTTTAAAGTGAACTACTCCTTTAAATTCTGCCGTGTTCCACGTACAATGCTGTCGCACGGCTTCACAAGATATAGAATATAGCACATAAATCATATGGGTTATTATTATGGTTTTTAATTGCGAGTTTTTGTCTTTTGATAACTTTGTCAGCTTGTGAAAAAGAGCATCCTCCTTATCCTGTAAAGTTTCGCTGAAGAAAAAAACTCAAACTTGCGGGTTTAGAAGGCTAAATAACGACAAAATTCTGGGGGAACTATTCCTGTAAGTTGGTGATTCTGGTCACCATTTATGTGCAATACGGACAGGTTGCCAGTTTGTAAATGAATACTAATAATTTATTTATACCTACAGAGGTCGCACAGCAAAAAAAATGCAGACTTCTGAATTAGCGTCTTTGATAAGTAAATCCTTTTATGTTATTTTTAGTAAACACCTGCATTGATCAACCTGTTTAAGAGATGAAATCTTACCATTCTCACAGGATTCACTTTTTGACTGTGAAGATTTAGAATTAGTTCGGTGTGGTACTTATTACAACATCATCCTTTATAATCGGTTTTTTGTTTGTTATTTTCAGTACATGAACTGACTTTCTGAAGCAGTTCCTTGCAGATCTCTCTCTCCATAATGTAATGACATTACTCTCTCTCTCTCTCATATAGAAAGATTGCAGTTGAAAGAGTTTTATTATCGTTATTGATGGACTAAATGGACTAATCTTTGTTTAACATAGACATTTACCATTTAAATGCTAGCTGCTGTTTCACATCTAAATTGACTTTGATCATGGCTGACCGTGTATAGACATAATGGCAATGTTTATTACCTTTTCCTCTTAGATCACATCTTTCATCTCAAATGAATAAGAAGTTGTGTTGTCTAGACTAAATAAACATGTGCCTACTTCAAATTTTCATTTGCAAATGTGAGGCCATCCATCTCTTCCTCTAAACCACTAATAATCAGTCACATGTCTGTTTTTTTCAGTTCTTTGACATCACTGACAGTATCAAGCATTGTTTCTGCCTCCTTTTTAAAAATAAAAAGCAAATAACACTGTAAAGAATCATAGGGTTTGCACTTGTGGCAGTAGCTTTTATTATTATTTTTACTCCATATATAATTTTGGATCTTGTCTGCGTAGTGCTGCATTGATTGACTTAATACCGAAGATTTATTTAGGACTGTAACATTGCTTAATTTTGTGCCATAAAAACAATTTTACTATTTCCTGAGTCAAATCTTATATTTTCAAGGTTTAACAAACGGCATGTCATGCCATTAAAAGTCTAGATTCTGTATAGTTTAAAGATGTTCAGTAAGTGACTGAATGCCGGTGGGCGGGGCCTATAGTGTGATGATGTGAAATTATTCGCAAGGTTCACACTGTACGATTTTGGCCGTGTGCGATAACGTTTTGTGATTCCTCTGATCCTTGGCCATAATCTGAAGTCTTTGAGCGTTAGTTTGACGGCTTCTCCAACAGCCGATTAATGATCACTGTGTCAAATTTGATCAGTCTGACCTCTTACAACAACCATCAAATCATCAAAAAACCCGATGACACAATAGTGCGACATCAATAAACCACGGCTGCATCCCAAATATCACACTTCCCACCTATATAGTATTCAAAAACAGTATGTGACAAAAGAAGTATGTCTGAATTCACAGTACTCGTTCAAGAGTGGGCAAAAAGTACTACTTCTGGTGAGATTCTGAAGTGTGCATCCGATGGACACTTTACTATCCCATGATGCCACCACCACGGGAGAGGATTTGTGAATGGCAGTGAGGCAACGCAACTGACGCTGGGAGGTCACATGATGATAAGAGTATGGCGAATGTAGTTACATTCATACTAAATAGAACATACTTTTTTAGTTGCGAAGTAATGACTTATTCAGAATGAGTACCTACTCAAGAGAGTATGCGATTTCGGGTACCCACCACTTCCTCGACAAACACCTCGTCATTTAAAAAAAAAAAAAAATCAAATTTTTTTGTAAAGCCATGATCAAAATGAATGCTAGAGATAGTACAGTGTGACAAGCAACATTCGCAAAGGACTATTATAAATTGTACAGCGTTCACCCGGCTTTATAAGCAGTCATATCCAGACGATGTTTTTTTTTTTTAATTGGTTTGAGGAAGATATTTTAAGCCATGAAACTTGTAAGATCTTTTAATGTCATGACCACTACAGACAAATCCATTGTTTTTTTTGTTTTTTGTTTTTTGTTTCTTGCACTCAATTTTTTTACACTTTATTTATTTTGTCTGTAGATTTCAGTTACAATACATAAATAAATAATGTTTTCTCAAAAAAAAAAAATCAGGTTTTTTTTTTTTTCCAAACTTCACATTTTTCTATATTCTGATATTCCTAAAACATGGGATCTTATTTTTTATGGCTGTTGACTTTTTTCTTTCTGATTTATGGAGTTATCTCTATGGAAAGAATTGTAAATTAATTGTGCAACATCTTTTTTGATATTTAATGTTAAATTATTTCCTGTGGCAAAGATTCTTTTTTTTTTAATAGATTATTTAATGTAAATGATTTCTGGTTTAGTTTTTTGCCTTTTGCGTGTTGAAATCATGAAAATAACATTGGCCTATAGTACAAAAGCATCACATTCAAACCTTACAATTAGGCTAAAACGTGTTAAAAAGTATTATATTTTTTGTAAAACGGTTATTTCCAATCCTTGATTCAGATTGGTCAATAGCTGCGTTTTATTCATGATAAACACGGCTATGGCCGCTTCACCCAACGGTTCTGTGTATCTCTGCGCAACACTGCGGTTCCTGTGTTGTTATTTGAGCTTTCACACATTGGTGCGTTGTTGCTGTTCACGGTCGGTTAGGGACTATTTTTTCTAGCGGAAGGAAGGCTTTTAGTGATTTTTCTTAATGAAAGTTGCACTAATACATTTTTTACTATATTTTTATTGTGTGGTAACCGTTTTATAAAAGCAACAAGGTACTCGAGGTAAGTGTGGCTCCGCCTCGTGTCGTGCCTTACAACGCCCTTCGTTACTTAACTTATTCACGATGCACAGCACATCGTCTTTTACTTTATTGCTTATGCTGCGTTCCAGGCAGGTTTTGAGCACGTAAATCACGACTTCAAACCATGGCTTACGACTTTGTAGCATTCCAGGCCAGTCACGCCAAATTACCTGAGCGCAAGGAATTGTGGTAGCTAGCTAGATGTAAACAAACCAGCATGGCGGACCTTACGAGGCACGCGCATTTGTAATAATTTCTAACGCCAAAGGTGCTTACTCCTTGTTTATTTGTGGGAAACTGAGGAGGAAAAATAGCGCATGAGGCAAGATAAGCTGTTATACATTTTATTTTACTTTATTTGTATATTCGGAAATGTATTTGGTATTAATTTATTCTTGCACTCAATGGACTGACAACTAGTTAACGTTAGATTGTCCTAAAGTGTATTGTAGTTGTGCATTGTAGTTTTTTTTTGTTTTGTTTTTTAATTGAGAATTAAACACAAATACAAAATACGGTATATAACAGGAATGCTTCACATGACAGATATCACATAGTGAAACAAGTTCAAACAAATAAACAGGATCAACAACAATAAAAGAAGAAAGAAAAAATACAAATAAAAACTAAATAAATATACAAAAAAATGTTTCTTTTCCTATAGACATTTTTAATGTTCACATAATTTGGTAAACTAAGTGGGGGCATTAATTACAATACGAAGAATTCCTCCATAAAGTTTAACAGCATTTCATTCTTTTTGGGCTGTCATTGTAGTTTTGTATAGGTTCGCTGGCTATGAGATGTCAGAACTCGTAACTGGGAGTACATCGAACTAGTACGAGTTCACGGATGGGAAGTCACGGGTTTGACTGCCGTTCCAGTGCACTTTCACGGGTATAAGGTTGGAAAAACACGGGTTACAGGTTGCCTGGAACGCAGCATTATTCACAACATTTTAAGATCTATCTGACAAAAACTTTGGTAACGCTTCCTTTTACAGTCCAGTTACCCATGTAAATACTATGTACTTATTTTAGTACCTACAATTACTGCGTAATAGTAACTAGTTATAACCCTGAACCTACCCCTAAACCTACCCTTGTACACTGTAAATACTGTACTGTGAAAGGAAGCGTCATTGTTAACAACCTATTAAAATGCTGCATATAAAGGTCACTACTTTCACTACATGTCAATATGGCTCCATCAGTGTTTTAATGGTCAATACTTCATTTAAAAGTGGTTTGTGCCTGGAGTCAAGCCAACTCGTTCCTTGGCTAACTCCAGCTGTCACCGCTGCCCCAAATAAAGCCTTTATCAAGTCACACCAACAGCTTATTTGACATTTTTGCAATGACTTTTAATCAACTGGTACCTCTGTGAAGTGGATATGAAGTCGCTTCTCAAGTTCACATACAAGTCCTTTGAGAGTAACCGCAGTTCGTCAGTCATTTTTCCCACAAAATGTAATACCGGAAAGTTAAGTGTCTTGCTATATTTATTTAAAAAAATAAATGCCACTGATATTTTGTTATTATATAGACCTAATGCAAAGATATTCATATTCAAGCAAGCCCCTGTATAGATAGTATCTGATAGAGTATATAATTTAAATCACAATAACATTGTTTTTATATCATGTAATCCAGCTGAAGACCATTGTGTTGCACCATATTTAAACCAGATATTCAGGTTTTCAGTGCCTAAAATTAGAATTGGGTGCACATTAGCAGAACATCGTTTATTAACATCAATACACTGGTCTGGTTTCATAAATATTAATGTCACGATCAGTGTTGGGAGTAACGCATTACAAAAGTAATAAATTACAGTAACATATTACTTTTTGCTGTAACGCAGTAGTGTAAGGCATTACTAATCAATTTTCAGTAATATTTTACTTGTGACATGTTCAGTGAGGCTTGTATTACAGTTGTATTACAGTGTATTGTCTGCTTTTACTTCTTAAAGGCAACAGACTGTGAAAGTTTTAAAGCAGTCTTTTAGTGCCAGTTCAGAGCGGTCGCGTCTGTAACATTGTTTTTTCCTCATAAATGCGAACACGAAAACTAAAATAAAATGAATATTTTAAGTTCTATGGAGACTGGAGAGCCAAACCTTCCTCATCCGATTTGCGCAGTGTAATTAACGGAATTACAAAAAATCGATTTTGCCTCCTATTTTTTTGTCACGCATGAATGTGTGTCTTTTCCCTAATATTAAAAATAAAACATAGACTGATATTTGTCTAATGTCTGGAGTCCTTTAAGGAAGTAGCCTATATACGTTTCAATACATTTTTATTTCAAGTTTTGACTGCAAATGTCATCATGTCCATAATGATGGACTTCCCCAATTTTAAATAATTTATCCTCAACTAGTTTTGTGGTGTAGGTCTACGTATTTTATAATGTTAACTTCAAATAATACTAATAGCCTAATTTAAAGATAAGGCAGCATTGGATATGGACGGTAAGGAGAATAACGCTGGAGTTGGAAGAGGTGTGTCGCGATTCTGTAGGTTCGTTGATATGAGTCGTGTGGCGAATCGCGATTTCGGTTTCATATTGCATATCGTTACAGCCCAAAAGTTAAGTTCTACTTAGTTATTTTGGTGAAAGTAACTCAGTAATGTAGTAACTCAAGTAATACATCAGTAATGTAACGCATTACAATTCTGGGACAGTAATATTGTAAGGTAATGAATTACTTTTAAATAACAAGTAATACCTAATGTATTACAGTTTGGAAGTAACTTGCACAACACTGGTCACGATACAAACAGGAAGGGAGAACTCAAATGCAGCATAAGGATTTATTTACAAAAGGAAACAAAATACAAAGCAAAAACCCACTAGGGGGAAAAACATAATCAAAGAAACATGAACAAAACTGAAAACTCAAAACAATCACCAACTCAGACACAAAGACAAAACCGGGAAACATATGACAATGACAACGAACCGACAAAGACTGCAAACATGAGGAGACTTAAAAAGGGAACAAATCAAGAGGGGAACAGGTGGAACAACTAAACACTAATCAGGTAACGAGGGGGAAGTATCAAACAATCACAGAAACACAGCATGGCACAACACATGTGCAATACAAGACAGGACCGACATGTGACAATTAATGCATGTGGCAGCATTATTTAGCTATATAGTATACATTTTTATATGAATATTAACAGCTATTTCCTGAAAGGTCAACAGCCTGTTGTTAATATTTAGTTCTGCCCGACATTTGAATGACATTGACATATTGATCTGGACTTCTGTGTGATTACCGCAGGCTAATATACAGATGGCAGATGATGGATCCGCATGTAAAACAATAGCGAGCGAATCAAAGGACCTACATAAATGATACAATGGGCAAAATGACAACAGCAATCATAGTGATTATAAAGCAGCTCTAAGACAATTAAAATCTGTCAAGTCAAGAGCTGAATAGTTGTTACTCTTTTTTTGCCCATGCAATACTTTTAAGGGTAGGATTATTTAACAAATAAGCTATTTAAACATTTACAAAGTTCCCTAGGAATACATTCATGTAACCCACAATGACCTTTTGTGGGAAGATGTCCAACAGCAAACTGTGAACGGTATGATAATTAGCCTATTGTTTTGGCTCAAAGACATGATTAATACTGCATATAATCACAGAGCACTCAAAACAAACGAGAACCTGCAGCACAGTCTGTTAACGTGTTTACTCAAGAGCTTACAAAAATATTATGCTATTGGGGTTTGAGATTGCACTCTTAAAAATAAAGGTTCTTTATTGGTATTTAAAGGGATAGTTCACCTAAAAATGGAAAATATGCGTCATTATTTTTCTCCGTCATGTCTTTCCAAACCCGTAACGGTGCGATGCATTTAGGGGTGTGGTCCTGGTCATGACAAGGCAGGCTTCGTGCCCTGGATGTGCATCCCACAAATCTCCATCAACTGCAAGATGCTATCCTATCAATATGGGCCAACATTTCTAAAGAATGCTTTCAGCACCTTGTTGAATCAATGCCACGTAGAATTAAGGCAGTTCTGAAGGCGAAAGGGGGTCAAACACAGTATTAGTATGCTGTTCCTAATAATCCTTTAGGTGAGTGTATGTTAAATATTGCAGTTTAAATGCTTTCATTGTGATTAGTTTTTACAAAAGTTGATATAGACCATTTCACAAGATGTAAACAACACTGGTCCAGAAACACTTCCTGTTTCAGTTTGTAACTGTTTTCTTTTTTTACAAACATTTTAAAGATGTTTGTTTAACTTTTTGATTCAGTTTTATATGTTCTGTTGGTTGTATTTTATCCCAGCTCTTATGTAGTGTTAAAAAAACGAAACAGGAAGTGCTTCTGGACCAGTGTTGTTTACATCTTGTGAAATGGTCTATAATTGACGCGTTCACGCAATGTCTACACACATGCATCGGTGCTCTTGTGGACGTGTGTTGGAAATTAATATTTAGTTATGTTAATAGCTAATATAATTAATAGTTATGTGTTTTTTTGTGCAAACAAACCACTCGCATTGCTTCATAAAATTGAGATTAAACCACTGGAGTCACATGATGTCTATACCTTTCTGGGGCTTGAAAGTGGTAGTTGCGTTTCCATCAATGGAGGGACAGAAAGCTTTCAGATTTCATTTAAAAGATCTTCATTTGTGTTCTGAAGATGAATGAAAGTCTTTTGGGTTTGGAACAACATGAGGGTGAGTAAGACAGAAATTTCATTTTTTGGGTGAACTATCCCTTTAACGGTTCCATAAAGAACCTTTAACATCTATTGAACCTTTTCAATGGACAAAAGGTTCTTTATAGGGAAAATATTTTATAGTTTTCTGCCTTTTAGATTTCACGGACCCCCAATTATGATCATCCCCGTGAGGGGCCACCATCCTAAAATGTATAAGGCATCTGGCTTTTATAAACCCTCAGTTTATACATATTAAAAATGAATATTGTAAATCTTAAATTTGTTTATATATATAATGTTCTATGTATTATTTTAATATCGTTATTTAATATGAATCTAATATTAAACAAATTTTTACTGATTTAATTTTACTAGATTATTAACTAATCACATTTTTTATCACATTATTTTCATTTATTTAGATCTAATTTATTGTTTTACTCATTTATTTTAATCTAATTATTATTATCATTATTTATTTTATTTTAATTCTTTTCTTTTTTTCAGTTTTTCTCTAGACTTGGTTCTTCAGTGACATCTCTGCAAGTGTGGAGGATATAATTCACACTCGCACAAAAAAAAACAATTATTTAGCCTACCATTTGATACAGATTTTAATTAAATCTAAAAAAAAAAAATGATAGAGCTCACCTTTCCTAATTCCTATCCTAAAACTATCTCATCTTCTCTTCATCCACACGCGACTGCTTGATTGGTCATCACAGTTGTAATCTCTAAAGAAGCTTCCCGATCGTGAAATGCGATTGGTGCACAGAGCTGTCAATCAACATAATAATCCCGCCCTAATGCGCGATGCCTTGATGGAAGAGTGACAGACCTCAGTCTCATCTGACGTGCGTCTGCATTCAACACACTTTGGGTAAGCGAACATGTTTTGAAATACATACTCAAAACTTTGTGAAGTGCTTCTTTATTATAATATAACTAATATTACATGTGTACATAGTTTATTTAGGGCATCTATATAACTTGTTGTTGTCAGCGTCGACGCGACTCGTGTGTATTCAGTGAAGCAGCGCGTCATTAATGCTGGACGCTACGTTCATTTATTTAGTAAGTCCTAAACTTTGCTATCTATCAGCGTTTTGAGTTGAGAGCGCTTTGCCAACTCCAATTCCGTTTACTAAAAGTACTGGTGATGATGGTTCAGGGATGTTAGTGATGCCATGATACTCAGTCTGTACCATTATTGTCATATATGATGTTGATTTTTACATGGTACAGCACATCAAAAATACCATGCTACTACCATGGCACATTAAAATAACTAAATATAACTTTAAAAAAATAAGTAATTTCTTATACTATGTGTATAACTATATTCTTTGTTTGCCTTTGGTGATGATGGCTTATAATTATCCCAAATCAATAGTATATTGCTGATTTAGTATTTTACTTGTTTGTCACATTTCTACGCCCAAATAGCATAAAGTCTTTATTCATTTTAACCGTAGCTTGCAATTATTTTAACAGAAATACAAAGTTCTGTCATGAAATGGCGATGGCACAGGCTGATTGGTCCTCAACTCAATTGGTTAGCAAGCGATGACATCATTATCTACATAGAGCAGCTGATTGGTTGCTGAGGTTCGCCGCTTGCTCCACCCTCCCCAGCTCCACCTGTATAGATCTACTACAGGGTAATCATACAAAATACATGAACTTTGCCACATCCATAACCATGTCAATCTCTCTGAGAGTTGACATGAAATAAATATTTTGTCCTCATTTGTTTTGTCATTAACAGATAATTAGTGTCATGCAGTACAATGCTATATTGTGCTATATGTGCTGGTTGCTATAGTGAAATGGAGCACTGTTGAGTAGTGAGCCATTGATTTCCATTTGAGTGAGTTAATGGACCTTTCCACTAGTCGCTAACAGAGACATGCTGAGCAATTACATGTGGTTAGCTTCTCCTGATACATGAAACCTAAATATAACTATTATGAGAATGTGACTTCAAACCTGTGTTATTTATGACATTTCTAATAGCGCACAACAAACCTTGAGCCTTGGATTGAAATGAACGAACCTCCATGTCTCAGCACTGATATGTTCTGCAGGAAGGTGAATCTGTGTTGTGGATTTAATGGTTTTAGATTAAGATCGTTCCTTTTATTCTACACACATTATTAGTTTCATGCATTAAAGTGTAACAAATGTCAAAACCTTTGCAGTGTTCTCTCTCAAATGTGTCACTGGGAGTTAATGTGACAGCGAGTGTAATCCAGTGAGCAGTGTGTGTGTGTGCGTGTGCGCATCTAATAACTTAATCCCCTGTATAATCTTCTGGTGACACACAGTTACCTTACTTGTTTCTGGATAGCTGGCCACAGAATGAAACTAACATTACACATGCAAGCTTTGAAATGAACTGGTGAGGTGTTTATAACTGTTGACCAAACTTGAGTGCACTTTTGTAATAATGTCAAAATAAAAGTTTTACCAATGTGTTTTAATTTTTTTAGTTATTTTAATGTGTTGATTAACATGAACATACTGAAGTACATGTAAAGTACTTGATTATAATTTAACAGTAGTGTTTTAAAATGTCATCATTACAGATGTCATACAATTTTCAATAGAAAGGAATATATTACATGCAATTAAGGGTCCAAAAACATTACATTAAATTTTTACTTAAGCTCTTTTTTTAAAAGTATATTATTCCCACAAGTAGTATTCTTTTTAAAACTATAAAGTGTGTGTGTGTCTCTGTGTGTGTGTGATCATTATTACCTTAAATTGATTCGTTTTTAACATAAATTATATTAAACTTTCAATCTGTCAGGTTCATATTTTAGTCTTCATTATGTGACATTGTGAGGATGTTTGGTCTAACTGACTGTGTTTGTGTTCTTCCAGGTGCTGAGGTTTGTTGCTGTGTGTGTGTGGTGAGGTGAAGTCATGCCGCTGGTCAAGAGAAACATCGAGCCAAAGCATCTGAGCAGAGGAGCTTTACCTGAGACCATCAGCAATGAGCTGGAGTGTGTGACCAACAATACACTCTCTTCCATCATACGCCAACTCAGCAGCCTCAGTAAGGCCTACTCTATCATGTTAGATGTGCTCAAATAGATTTTTAATTTTTAGCTGCCTTTACAATACCACCATGTAATATGTACGCTTATTTTCTTGATGTCAATATGTTTTCAAAAATCATTTGACAATTTACCCAGACAGCTAGACAATAAAACAAAAAAACAAGCAAATCTAAGCAAAAAACCCAAGCAAAACAAAACAAAAAACAAGCAAAACCAGGCAAAACAAAACAAACAAAACTTAACAAAAACCCAAGCAAAACATAACAAGCAAATCTAAACAAAAACCCAAGCAAAAGAAAACAAGCAAAACTAAACAAAAACCCGAGCAAAACAAAGTAAAACAAAAAGCTAAACTAAACTAAAAAAACCAAGCAAAACAAAAAAGCTAAACTAAACTAAAAAAAACCAAGCAAAACAAAAAAGCTAAACTAAACAAAAACCCAAGCAAAACAAAGCAAAACAACAAGCAAAACTAAACAAAAACCCAAGCAAAACAAAAAATCTAAACTTAAAAAAACCCAAGCAAAACAAAGCAAAACAAAAAAACTAAACTAAACAAAACCCAAGCAAAACAAAGCAAAACAAAAAAGCAAAACTAAACAAAAACCCAAGCAAAACATAACAAAACAAGCAAATCTAAACAAAAAACCAAGCAAAACAAAACAAAGTAAAACAAAACAAGCAAAGCTAAATGAAAAACAAAACAAAAAACAAAGTAAAACAAAACAAGCAAAACTAAACAAAAACAAGCACAACAAAGTAAAACAAAACAAGCAAAACTAAATAAAACAAGCAAAACAAAGTAAAACAAAACAAGTAAACTAAACAAAAACCAAGCAAAACAAAGTAAAACAAAACAAGCAAAACTAAACAAAAAACTATCAAAACAAAGTAAAACAAAACAAGCAAAACTAAACAAAAAACAATTAAAACAAAGTAAAACAAAACAAGCAAAACTAAACAAAAAACTATCAAAACAAAGTAAAACAAAACAAGCAAAACTAAACAAAAAACAATTAAAACAAAGTAAAACAAAACAAGCAAAACTAAACAAAAACCCAAGCAAAACAAAGCAAAACAAAACAGGCAAAACTAAACAAACAACCCAAGCAAAACAAAACAAGCAAAACTGAACAATTAACCCAAGCAAAACAAGTAAAACTAAATAAAAAACCCAAACAAAACAAAGTAAAACAAAACAAGCAAAACTAAACAAAAAACAAGCAAAATAAAACAAAACAAACAAAACTAAACAAAAACCCAAGCAAAACAAAGTAAAACAAAACAAGCAAAACTAAACTAAAACCCAAGCAAAACAAAGCAAAACAAAAAATACCAATTAAACATTTCTACCAATATTGCCTAAAAACAATAACAAAAAGTCACAATGTTCTACATTGACACTCATTTGAGAAGATTTTTTAAAAAATATTAGAAGTAATATAAATGATTAATTATATACATTTATAAGTAAATAAATAAATACATATGCAGCGGAGCCTGACAATTATTCAAGACAGCCTTGCTCTGAGAACACAGTTTAGCGTTCTGGTTAAAATCATGATATAGTTGAATCTATATGCAAGTAGTTCTGCTTTACACAAACACACTATAAATCAATAGACGGAATGAGATGAGATAACAATGCTTTTTGTCCGCTGGCTTCCAGCAAATGCTCTAAAGCTTAATCCCATCAAGTGCAGAGAGAGATCGACAGATGTGGACGCCGAGTGTATGCATGTTCTGTGGGGTCAAAGATCCTGCATGTCCTGAATCCTGAATTCATGTTTCCTGCAATTTCCTGTGTGTGTGTGTGTGTGTCATTTGATTTGGAGTGAATATGTGCTGCAGTTCACCAATAAATTAGATTATGCACTATAATTATATAGGAGTGGATATACTGTAATGTTGACGATTGTAAATAAAAGGTGCAGCTTAGCCTCATGTTCCTGGTGGTTTCTGCATTTCAAAGCTCAAGATGTCCGATCTTCTGTCTGTTGTGCTCATCTTCTACAGGTAAACATGCCGAGGACGTGTTTGGTGAGCTCTTTAATGAAGCCAATACATTCTACCTGCGTGCTAATTCTCTACAGGACCGCGTAGACCGACTTGCAATCAAGGTCACTGAGTTGGACTCTAGTGTGGAGGAAGGTCAGTCAAAGGTCAAGGTTCACATGCACTTAAGGGGTGCTTTTTTGGGTGTATTTACCCAATTAATGTCACCATGACATTAAAATGACAATTCTTTTTAATGAAATAGCACAGTATTTATTCTAAATGATTTATCCGTGCACATCATTATTATTATCATGTTGTGTTTACTGATGTGATTTTTTCCATATGTCATAATATAGTGAAAAAAGAACTCCCTCAACTTACATTTCATTCGACTTTAATCACTACGTTTCTCATTTAATTAGTTGCTTTTTAAATTAGAACAAAATTTGTACCAGTGCCTCACGACTGCATATGCATATGAATTATTATCTGTGTGGTAAGTAACCACAAGACACATTGCTTAAAATGTCAAAGTAAGGTTAACCAAATGATTAAACCAGTACCAGTGAAATATTAATAGCATCATACTTGAATGATGGGCACGCTCTGTAGATTATCAATTTATTTTTAACCATTTTATCGCTATTCATTTTTAGAAAATCTGTAATATTGATGGTAATTGATGTGTATAGAACTTTGCAAATGGTGTGTTTTCTAATTCTGTGGAGAGCAGATATTGTGTGCCTTGAGATAACTGATGTACTTTGTGTAAAGATCTCTCTGTCTCCTTTTTGCCACAGTATTACTTCAGGACATTAACATGCGGAAAGCCTTCAAGAGTTCTACTGTTCAAGACCAGCAGGCGGTGACAAAGAGCAGCACTCCAAACCCCATCACAGAGATGTACAACACCAGCGACAAACCACCACCTCTGAACATACTGTCTGCCTACAGGTGTGTGTGTGTGTGCTTTCATCCTTTTATATATATATATATATATATGAAGAGTTCAGATGCAAAAGCCTCTAAGTGCCATTTGAAATTTTCTTCTAGAATGATCATTTTTATCAAGCTTGTATATTTAAGTTCAGTAATTTCACTTAAATGGCAATGAAGATTACCTATTAATTGTTATTTAAGTGAAATTACTGAACTTAAATATACAAGTTTGATAAAAATCATCATTCAAGAAGAAAATTTCAAATGGCATTTAGAGGCTTTTGCATCTGAACTCTTCATATATACTGTATATTAAAAGGTTGATTTACCCAAATAGGCAAGGCAAGGCAAGTTTATTTATATAGCACATTTCATACACGATGGCAATTCAAAGTGCTTTACATAGAAGAAATTAAAATAATCAAAAGAAATCAGAATAATTAAAACAGTTTAGAATCAAAAATAAGAAATAATGAAAAATACAAATTATGATAAAAATAAAATACAGTAAATTAAAACCATTTTTTTAAAAAAATAGAAATATTAAAAAGAAATATTAAAATTCTGTCATTAATTCCTCTCCCTCATGTTATTCCAAACCTGTAAGACTTTCGTTCATCTTCAGAACACACATGAAGATCTAAACAAATGTCTGTAGAGAAGCTCTTCCTGGACTCAAACAGAAATCAAAGGCAAAGGCAAAATCCAAGGCACTCTCTTTAGAAAAGTTAAAAAGCCTTTATTTCTATGGCTTGGTCATAATCAACACTAAAAACTAGGGCTGTGCAAAAAATTAATTGCGATTAATCGCATCCAAAATAAAAGTCTGTGTTTACATAATATATTTGTGTGTGCTGTATATAATTATGTTGTATATATAAATACACACACATGCATGTATATATTTAAGAAAATGTGTTATTCATATATAAAATATTTATTTTTATATAATATACATTATGTATTTATAAATATATACAGAATTTAAGAGCAAATAATTCTTAAATATATACATGCATGCATAGGTATTTATATATACAAAATAATTATATACAGCACACACAAATATATTATGTAAACACAGACTTTTATTTTGGATGCGATTAATCGCAATTAACTTTTGCACAGCCCTACTAAAAACACTTCGTCCGGGAGTCACATGAAGATCTTTTTGAGGAAATCTGAGAGATTTCTGTCCCTCCATTGAGAGATACGCAACTACCACTTTGACGATTCAAAAGGAGATCATAAAACGAATCCATATGAATTGAGCGGTTTAGTCCACATTTTCTGAAGAGACTTTATATGATGAACAGACCGAATTTAGGCTTTTATTCACATTTAAACATTGATCGGTGAACATAAACAGAAGCTAAACCAAACCTCATTGGTTCTTGCAGAATTTTACATGATGCGAACATGTTTGAGCTTCTGTTTACCACTGATGTGTGAGTTGATGAACGTTTATATGTGAATAAAAGCCTAAATTCGGTCTGTTCATCATATAAAGTGATCGAGTCTCGTCAGAAAAAGTGGACTAAACCGCTCAATTCATATGGATTAGTTTTACGATCTCCTTTTGAAGCGTCACAGTTGTAGTTGCGTATCTGTCAATGGAGGGACCGACATCTCTCAGACTTCCTCAAAGAGATCTTTGTGTGTTCTGAAGATGAACGAAAGTCTTACGGGTTTGGAACAACATGAGGGAGAGGAATTAAAGGAGTAGTTCACTTTAAAAAAAACTTTTGCTGATAATTTACTCACCCCCGTGTCATCCAAGATGTCCATGTCTTTCTTTCTTCAGTCGAAAAGAAATTAAAAAATTATTTTTGATGAAAACATTCCAGGATTTTTCTCTATATAATGGACTTCATTGGGAACCAAACGGTTCAAGGTCCAAAAGACAGTTTCAGTGCAAACTGTTCAAAGGGCTTTAAACGATTCCAGACGATGAATAAGGGTCTTATCAAGCGAAACGATCGCTCATTTAATAAATAAATAAATAACAAAGTTTAATTTTTATAAGCTCAAATGCTCGCCTTGTTCTGTTCTGTGATGCGTGTTCGTGACTCTCCTGTTCAAACTCGTTCATCAAAATGAACGAATCTTTTTCCGAGTCATTTGGTTCATTCAAACGATTTGACTCGGGAAAAGATTCGTTCATTTTGATGAACAAGTTCGAACAGGAGAGTCACGAACACGCATCACAGTACAGAGCAAGGCGAGCATTTGAGCTTATAAAACTTAAACTTTGTTATTTATTTATAAAACGAGCGATCGTTTCGCTAGATAAGACCCTTATTCATCGTCTGGAATCGTTTAAAGCCCTTTGAACAGTTTGCAGTTCTTTTGGACCTTGAACCGTTTGGTTCCCACTGAAGCCCATTATATGGAGAAAATCCTTGAATGTTTTCATCAAAAACCTTAATTTCTTTTCGACTGAAGAAAGAAAGAGGGTGAGTAGATTACCGGCAAACGTTTTTTGAAAAGAGAACTACTCCTTTAATGACAGAATTTAAATGTTTAAGTGAACTATACCTTTAAGATGCTCATTGTGTACAAATGAGTTGTGTTTGTTTGTTTGATCCAGGGATGACCATATTGATGGAATTAAGTTCTACACAGACCCCTCATATTTCTTTGACTTGTGGAAGGAGAAAATGCTTCAAGACACAGAAGACAAGAGAAAAGAGAAGAGGAAATATAGGGTAAAATAGTCACTCCATTGAATGTTTTGAATGAGTTTAAATCTGGTTACGTTTTTGCAGCAGAATGAGTTTTGCTTATTTGACCTAATCACACACAGTTCCTTTGAGTAAAAACTCACTCACATGGATCCTCTCCCAGAGGAAAATCATATTGCACAGAATGAACGAGTTTTTGGAAGCTGAGAGCTCAGATCATTTACATCTTCTGGCACAGGAGCAGAAGCGGGGAGTCGATGGGACGTTGCCTCGTGAGGTGAAGAAGGTTCGTAAGGCTCATAACCGCAGACAGGAATGGAACATGATGGCTTTTGATAAAGAGCTACGGCCGGACCGTCGTCATCATCATCATCATCACACACTTCGCAGGGGTGTATCGTCTGAGGGCTCGCTGTCTCCAGAGTACAGGTCTGATATTTTATACCGTATTTATGCCATAATAATCACATTTGCTACAAAATTATTTCAACTCATCACTCAGTTTAAAAAAATGATAATAATATTAATATTAATGGTTACAGTGATTTACTTAGTAATATAATAAGTGAATATTATACAAGAATTTTAAGGCATTCATTTAAAGGCATAATAAAATCAAAATGAACAATTCTGATTTTTTTATTGAATATTACAGTGGTTATTATAAATGATTTATCCATGCAAATAATATATATTATTTGCATGGATAAATAATTTATATATAAAAATGTTCATACGTTTTTGAAAGACGTATAAATAAAAAATAAAACAGTAATAAAAAAGTGTATTGTGCTCATCAAGGCTGCATTTATTTAATCAAAAACACAGAAATATTGTGAAATATTATTAAAATTTAAAATAACCTTTCTCTGTGAATATTTTAATAGGTTATTGTGTTCAAAGCTGAATTTTCAGCGTCACATGATCCTTCAGAAATCCTTCTAATATGCTGATTTTTCCTTCCTAATATATATATATATATATATATATGTGTGTGTGTGTGTGTGTGTGTGTATATTAGGAAGGAAAAATCAGCATATTAGAAGGATTTCTGAAGGATCATGTGACGCTGAAAATTCAGCTTTGAACACAATAACCTATTAAAATATTCACAGAGAAAGGTTATTTTAAATTTTAATAATATTTCACAATATTTCTGTGTTTTTGATTAAAATAAATGATGAGCACAATAAACATCTTTCAAAAACGTATGAACATTTTTATATATAAATTATTTATATGCACACACACACATATATATGTGTGTATGTGTGTGTGTGTGTGTGTGTATATATATATATATATATATATATATATACTGTATATATTTATTTATTTATTTTTTTTATTTTTTTGTGGAAACCATAATACATTACCAATCAAAGATTTGTGGTAAGTAAGATTTAAAAAAATAATTTGAATAATAATAAAGGACACATTAAATTGAAGTGACGGTAAAATACATCTATCATAGTTTCCACAAAAATATAAAGCAGCCAAAACTTCCAACATTAATACATTTAAGAACCATTATTAATTATTGAGCACCAAATAAGTATATTAGAATGGTTTCTGAAGGATCGTGAAGGAATTATTCTAAACTTTTGACCTGTTAAGTGTATATTTATTTATATAAAGTACGTAGTAATTCTTTTAATGAAGCAAACTAGATTTCTTATGATTCGGTTCCTTTCACCAGACAACATCCAAACAACTCCGACTACCCAGTCCCAGCATGCCACGCTCCAGCCCGAGCTCATCCCGTGGACACAGCATCATGGAGTGCTAATGGAGGGGTTGAGCACGAGTACCACAGCATCGGCGGGCCTGCAGGGGTAACTGTGGCTGCTGATGGAGGTTACAGAGGGGCTTTACTCGCTCGAACACATCCGGCTCCTCCACAGTCCCTGCCCCGGGAAAACGGGGTCAATGGAGCCCACATGCTTCCACCAACAGACTACGGGTAACAGCAAACACGCATGACTCGGCTATTTTAAAAAAAACAAGATATTGTCGTTTTCTGTTTCTGAATTTGTCAGAATGCTGAAAGAAAAGTTAGTATTTCCATGCTAGTCAGTGCTGGTCTAGTCTCACACTGGTGAAAGCATCATGCACCCATAATACAATCTGTGTAGTGCTCTGACCCGTCACATGCTTTCGTTTACAATTGCCAGCATAGTCCTGCCTCCCACACACACACACACCATGTAACCATGTTAAGCCATATAACATAGCTTATTTGATTAATATAGTCTACCCTACGACTATTTCTAGTGCAAAACTTTTTGTTGCAGTTTTTTGTTCAATTAAAAAAAACAAATTGGTTAAATGCTTTTATGGTTTTGTTCTGCTGCTTGTGTAAAAGAAGTGCACTTCAGATCTTACGAATATATTTCAAATAACTGTACTTGTATAACATAACATACATCTAACATACATACCAACACACCCACACAACTATTGCTATATCATTTATCTAGCTGGCTCATATGTTGAAGCATTAAACAGGACTAAAGTGGGTATTTGCTTTATAGGCCAAACCTTAAAAAATAAAAAAAATAGTACAATTTAATTTTTTTGAGGCCTCGCCAACAGAATGAAAGACTGTATAGTTAAATGGCTGTATAGTTATATTTAGTTGTAAATATAGTTTCAATGGGGTGTAACTATTTTGTGTTACTAGTGTAAACTAGATTTATTAAATGGGTGATAGGGGTGAAAAAATAAACACTTGTGCCAAAATGTATGCTTTTGGCATAAACACATGCAAAATTATCAACAAAAAAGCTTAAAAAGACAAAAATGCCCATAAGGGGTTAAAGGAGTAGTTCACTTTTGAAAAAAAACTTTTGCTGATAATTTACTCACCCCCGTGTCATCCAAGATGTCCACGTCTTTCTTTCTTCAGTCGAAAAGAAATTAAGGTTTTTGATGAAAACATTCCAGGATTTTTCTCCATATAATGGACTTCAATGGGGTCCAACCGGTTCAAGGTGAAAATGAGAGTTTCAGTGCAGCTTCAGAGGGCTTTAAATAACACCAGACGATGAATAAGGGTCTTATCTAGCGAAACGATGGGTCATTTCCAAATACTCTGTTTTTCACCTTCTCTCTGTGTCTCTTGTAGTATGATGGAGTACTATGCCAGTTCAGGCCCACCGCCGCCTCCACTGGCTCTCCTCATTCCCTCTGCACAGACGGCGTTTGCCTCGCCTCCAGCTACTCCTCATCTTGGACCAATCACATCATCCCTACGGTGTCCTCTTCCACCTGTCCCACCTCCCGGACCGGTTTCAGCTTCGGCTCCTTCAGGTCCTCCTCCTCCTCCAGCGCCGCCTCCTCATCCCGGTGCACTCGGAGAGGGACGGAGACGCAGTCTGAAGCCCGTCGCAGACGCTCGCAGTGACCTGCTCTCAGCAATACGCATGGGTGAGTGCTGTACACACTACAGTACACTTGTGGAAAAGAAGAACATGCGTAGGATGCGTAAGGAAATAATATACTTAAAGGGTTAGTTCACCCAAAAATGAAAATTAAGTCATTAATTACTCACCCCCATGCTGTACCAACCCCGTAAGACCTTCGTTCGTCTTCGGAACACAAATGAAGATATTTTTGATTAAATTTGAGAGCTGTATAACTACCACATTGGCTCCTAAGGGACTGCCTCTTGACGGCCCAAAAAGTCGATGAAGAAAATGCTTAAATATTCCATGTGACTACAGCGGCTCAACTATAAGTTTATCAAGCGACGAGAATACTTTTTTGTGCGAAAAAACAAACAAAAATAACGATTTTATTCGACTATTCCTTTTCTTCCTTGTTGGCCAGAAACGAGACTTCCTTAGATTTCCACGACGCATGCGCGAGAATTGAAGTGAAGTAGTTGAAGGAGATCGCAATTCTCGCGCATGCGTCGTGGAAATCTAAGGAATTCTCGTTTCAGGCCTACAAGGAAGAAAAGGAATAGTCGAATAAAGTCGTTATTTTTGTTTGATTTTCGCACAAAAAGTATTCTCGTTGCTTGATAAACATATAGTTGACCCTTTAAAGGGTTAGTTCAGCCAAAAATGAAAATGATGTCATTAATGACTCTCCCTCATGTCGTCCCAAGCCCGTCAGACCTCCGTTCATCTTCAAAACACAGTTTAAGATATTTTAGATTTAGTCTGAGAGCTTCATTGTAAATGTATGTACGGTATACTGTCCTTGTCCAGAAAGTTAATAAAGACATCATCAAAGTAGTCCATGTGACATCAGTGGGTTAGTTGCAATGTTTTGAAGCATCGAAAATACATTTTGGTCCAAAAATAACAAAAACTACGACTTTATTCAGCATTGTATTGTCTTCCTGTTCTGTTGTGGATCAGCGTTCAGTGACGCTGCTGACGTAAGACGCGGCTGACGTGTCTGACCAATTTGAAAGTAAAACACAAGCTCCCTGATGTGCATTGTGCACAAATTAGGCTTCAAAATCCATATATGATACTTGTTAATACTTGTTAGATTTGAAGTACAAAACAAACAATACAGTACATAATTGGAATTAATTTTGGATTAACCAACCATTAATATTGTAATATTCCTGTAGCTTGGATGTAAATATAGATGTCTATTTTTTTTTAGTCCAAACTCAGCAGCTACTATAAGATTTTAAGAGTGTCAATGCTATGCACAAAACAAGTTTGCCCTGTGTACATGTTTGTTTGTTTGTGTGTGTGTGTGTTCAGGAATCCAACTAAAGAAAGTACAGGAGCAACAGGAACAGCAGGCTAAAAGAGAGCCGGTGGGGAATGACGTGGCCACTATACTCTCTCGCCGCATAGCCGTGGAGTACAGCGACTCAGAAGACGACTCAGAGCTTGATGAGAATGAATGGTCTGACTGATTATGGTCAGCCACACACACAATGGCTGAATAGAGACCTTCCTTGTAAATAAATACGTTCACCTTCAGACACCCACATATAGTTGATTATTAACTCTTTCCCCGCCAATGACACGACGCTTTCTTGCCGATGACTGAATTTTACAGCAGTCCATACAGGGCGCTATTACAAAATATCTGAATCAAAACACAGATGAACAAAAAGCAGAAACAATAAAAAAGATAAAGCGATCATCAAACATTAAACTGCATAATTTCGACCCAGGATGAGGTATAGTGTGAAGCTTTGGGGGTGTAGATGGACTCGATAATTTTTTTGATCATTTTCTCAGCTTTTTTTTTAGATAGATTGTATAGACATACAATAAAATATTCTGGAGGCCGTGAACATTTTGTGAAAATTATCCAAAATTCCTGGCAACTTTTCTTTTTAAAACAACCTGGCGGGGAAAGAGTTAAGAATGATGTCAATTTCTTAAAGAATGCTATATAATATAGAGGGAAGCACATTTTTTTGTACAGAAAATATAAATTATTCTATTAATTAAACTATTAGCAAATCAAGGTAGTATTTTCTATATTTATTATTTCAGTTTTATTTCAATTGAACGATCTCGATCTGCTAATTGTCATGAAGAGTCAGAAGCGTGCAGATCCATGTGCAGTTTATATTTATTAAGAATAGTCAGACAGGCAGAAGTCAACGATCGGCATACAATATAGAGCAGGTAATCCAGAGCATAAACAATACCAGGCAGAGGTCAGGACAGGCGGCAACAATCAGAATCCAGAGATAACAGGCAAGGGTCGGGGCAGGCAGCAAACAGAGAATCAAAGTCCAGGAACAGTCGAGGGTCGATAAACAGAGAATCCAGATAAACACAGGGAAAACGCTCAGAAATGTCGCCGGGGCAAAACAAGACTTCGCACTGATAGAGAGTCTGAGGGCTGTTTATATGGAGCGTTGAAATGAGGAACACCTGTGCCGGTAATCAGTGCTAGGTACGGGGCTTATGGGAAATGGAGTTTGTGTGAAACCTAGTCTTATCTGGAGTGCCCTCTGGTGGATAAATAGGCCACTCCAGCTGGTAACCGTTACACTAATGTTATTTATGTTTATATATTACTTTTCTGTTACCTCTTGTACCTCAAAATGTGTGTGTGGGAAAAGCTGTTTGAATCTCTCTCTCTCTCTCTCTCTCTCCCTCTCTCCCTCTCTCTCTGTATATATGATATTGTAATATTGATCTAGATCTCTGCAAAGTGCAACAAGTGCGTCTCATACGCACCGAGCGAACGCACAGAGTAACAACTTTCAACACACTCAAATGTATTTAGTATGATTGTTTTAACCATGTAAAACAGGCTGCGCTACCCCACATAGACAACGTCGTAAGCATAATAAAAGCTCCGCTGGAACCAAGACATTAGCATTCGATCCAGCTGCCTCGTTTTGCTCCACGACTCATACGTTAATAAAACTGTAATACATCAGCTCATCCATGAATATGATTTATGACTGAGTCCCGCGGGTTACTTTCGTGCTTTCGTCTTTGTTTTGAATAAGCGACCTCTAGTGGCGAAAATTACATATTGTGCCTTTTTACTTAGTTAAAGGACAACTCTGGCGCAAAATGAACATTTAGTCTAATTACACATTGTTACTTAGTCAACCGTTATCAGAGATTTATTTTCATGATTGCCGAATGTAAATAGTTTTATCTCTAAAAACAGTTTACGCTAGTATAATGCTAGTATATGGGGCATAGAGTAATGACAAATAAAAATCGCTTGTTATTACCACTAACAAGGCTCAAAATAGCCCCACACCAACACGACAGCATAACAAGGGTCCCTACATTCAAACCGAAGCATTGAGAACTTTGTCAGTGTCCATCCAGTTTAATAAGAAGATATTTTATACACACAGTCAACTTCGCGAATACAGAAAGAAGCCATCTTGGAAAAATAGTCTCTACCAGTCGATCTACGAACGCCGATCCAAGTGCGCTGGTGAGATGTGAATAAAGTGATAAGGTGAGCGCGATAGTAGGCTACGTGTACATATTGAAGAGAAGAAAACGGTTTGTGTTTGTGTTTCTTCTGGAAACAACGGACCGTATGAGATTCTGCACAGTTCAGCGCACTTGGATCGGCGTTCGTAGATCGACTGGTAGAGACTATTTTTCAAAGATGGCTTCTTCCTGTATTCGCAAAGTTGACTGTGTGTATAAAATATCTTCTTATTAAACTGTATGGACACTAACAACGTTGTCAATGCTTCGGTTTGAATGTAGGGACCCTTATTATGCTACCGTGTTAGTGTGGGGCTATTTTGAGCCTTGTTAGTGGTAATAACAAGCGATTTTTATTTGTCCTTACTCTATGCCCTATATACTAGCATTATACTAGCGTTATAGGCTAAACTGTTTATTAGAGATAAAACTATTTACATTCGGCAATCATGAAAACAAATCTCAGATAACAGTTGACTAGGTAGCAATGTGCAATTAGACCAAAGGTTCATTTTGCGCCGGAGTTGTCCTTTAAGGACTACCTATTTAATTAAAATGACACAATAAGAGGTCATTGAAGAACTTGCTGTTTTGAAACCTAAAACGCAGCATTGTTTGAACAAAATGGTGGGGGATTACAATCTTTTAACGATTCAAACCTCTGCATTAAGCCTCATGAATGGGATAGGTTAACAAATCACAATAATGGCATTACTGTATTCCAGAAATGTAACATGCTTCACTTACTTTTGGTGTTGTACATCTGAATATGATGGAATGACATTTTACGTTTGAGTTTGACCTTTTGCAAGCACAGGTTTTACCTGTCAACTGTTCAAATTGGATGTCCTTCTCACATTAACAAAAGAATGATTGTTCATTAAATGCCTTAAAGAATGTCTTTTAATCCTGATCACCAGAGGAGAGTTCAATTATACAAACTGAAACAAGCGACTCTAAATCTAACGATTTAGATTGGATGATGCGGTCATCCGCAGTCTAATTGATTTAAAGCTGAGCATTATTGTGATGAAAGGTTAATACATGGCAAAGTGAAAAGCAGTCTGGTGAGCGGATGCATCCCTTTCTTACATTGTTTTGTTTACTGTCTGCATCAGGCACACGGAGCACCTGGTGGGCTGAGAACATTCTTTCTCACACTCGGGACTGTTGTTTTCGAGTATCCGAAATTGTTTTTGGTGGAATTAAAAACCCATAGCCTCAAAAGCCTTGGCCCCTGTTTCCATATGGCTCAGAAAAGTTCCCATAGCGATCTCCCACTGGCCCTGCTCATTTGCGATGGTGGTTGAAGTGCAGCAAAGTTCATTAAATCACTATTTTACCACTTAAGCTTAATCCCTATACCAATACAACAGTACAATCCAGAAAGACAAGAGAGAAGAAGAGGGCTTAGAGACTTGACGGATCAGATCTGACGTTTTGTTTTCCCACCGTTGCCAGGGAGTGCAAGGAATCTTGCTTCTGTGCACTTCTCTCGAGGAAAAACGCGGGGATGCGGGACGTGTCCTCCCATCCGCCCCGTGAAACGCCTTGTCAATCTAGGGCTGTCCTTGATCGTGGCCATCTGCCAGGGAATTCAGCAGGGCATCGGCTTCATTGAGCGCATCCTATTGTCCTGTTCTTGTATTAAGGTTGCATTAAGGTTGAACTCGGGTGCAGGAACAAATCACAGATAAAGCTAGTCCTATGTTTTTGGAAGCACTGCCCCCTCTCTATCCGATTCACACAGAGCAGCTCCTACTGTAGAGGACGTCTTCGCCAGTGGGGAGTCAAAGAGGGTCTTGTGGAATGCCTATGTTTAGTTTTGTTTTGTTAATACATTGACAGTGCCTAACTGTGGGGAGATGGGGAGGGTGGGATGTTGCGAGATGGTGTTAAGAAAAGGGAAAAAAAGCACTGGTACGTGCCAAGTGCCGATTGTCTCCTTGTAATAGGCATCAAAAGACCAACTTCTGTGTGTTACCATACAGGTGAACTCACTCCTGGGAAAGTAGGGTTTTTCTCAGCCTCCGCAGAGAGCCAGCGTCGCTCTTTTCTCTCTCAGCAGTAACGGGATTAGTCGTGCCATTGCTCTCGCGGCTTTCACGCCACTGTCTACTTCCCATCTTCCGCTAATGTGATTATCCCAGTCCCTGTGGTCCAAGCAGAAGGACGAGGGACTCCTCTTCAGTTGCACATTCACGGTGCCTCACAGAACCCCCCCTCCTCCAGTAACACCACCCAAATTCTCTTGCGGTGGTGGTGTTAATGACGGAGACCTGTTGGGCACAATTTAGATGCCATCTTAGTCAGAGGAAGACATGGTGGCATTGCACTATGCTTCCATGCCTTGAACAAACTCTTACGCATACTGTGCAGTCTGAAGATCTAATGACCTACGTTATTGCACATCCACGTGCTTCATGTCAAGGTAAAATAAATTCAACATTATTGTTAGTGTGCGGAGTATGTCTGGAACAGTTGTGGCCATACTTTTACCTTTAGCTAATTAGGGGGTCATAAAAATGACTTGTTTTTTAGTTCTGTCCTGAATAAGCTGTTTCACATGACACATGTTTACATTTAGTACACAAGACACAATAACTGAATTCAATCACGGGAACAGTTTTTTGCATACTAATGAAAATGACTATGTTTATGAAGGCCAGAGCTGCTGTCCTGCAGAATTTATTTCCAACCCTAATCAAACACACCTGAACAAGCTAATCAATAGCCGCTTTCCGACCAGAGGGACTTTTGCAGTTCCTAGAACCTAACGTTACTATAACCCTTTTTTTCTCGTGTTCCGACCGGACTAAATTGGGGATTTTTTAGTTCCTCAGACCGTTGTTCCTATAACTCTTTCAGTACCTAGTCTAGAGCGAGGACTTTTTTAGTTCCCTTTCCCGAGGTCTACAGCCGCTTTCCGACCAAGTAGTTACAGGAACTTAGTTATAGGAACTGTCCACTTCTAAACAGTTCTAAGAACTACTTTCCCCCAAACTCGGTTTTGCTGCTTGCGTTCGCACTGGCCAAGTGGCCATAGGAACTGGTAGGAGGGGTAACGCAAGCACGGCGACGGGCTTTATAGCGTCATCACTAGACGTAGCGCATAACGCGGCTATTGCAATGTTCCTGTTCTGCCTTGCCGGGACCAACGGAGAACGAACGGCAGCGTTTAAAGATTATGCTTGAGTTCTGTACAGAGAAACACAGATGAAGGCTCCAGCGTAATATGATATTAAGTAATAATTTGAAAGAAGATAAAAGAGCAGAGTGCAGGAGGCAAACAAAACGACGGGTAAGTTCAGCTATTATTAGCAATCAGCTGGTTGAATGCGTTATGTTTTTCTTAATCCTCGTTGTAATGTTTTGCAAAAACACACCGCGTATGGCGGACAGCGCGCTACAAGTTCCGTGTTGACAGTCGGCATGACTTATAAGTTTAACCAATCAACGTAGACCTCGGGAAAGGGAACTAAAAAAGTCCTCGCTCTAGACTAGGTACTGAAAGAGTTATAGGAACTACGGTCTGAGGAACTAAAAAAATCCCCAATTTAGTCCGGTCGGAACACGAGAAAAAAAGGGTTATAGGAACGTTAGGTTCTAGGAACTGCAAAAGTCCCTCCGGTCGGAAAGCGGCTTACGTTGATTGGTTCAACTTATAAGTCATGCCCACTGTCAACACGGAACTTGTAGCGCGCTGTCTGCCATACGCGGTGTGTTTTTGCAAAAAATTACAACTAAGGATTAAGACAAACATAACGCATTCAACCAGCTAATTGCTAATGCTAGCTAAACTTTCCCGTCGTTTTGTTTGCCTCCTGCGCTCTGCTCTTTTATCTTCTTCCATCATATCACGCTGGAGCCTTCATCTGTGTTTCTCTGTACAGAACTCAAGCATAATCTTTAAACGCCGTCGTTCGTTCTCCGTTATTAAGGTCCCGGCAAGGCAGAACAGCTCGCGCTACGTCAAGTGATGACGCGATAAAGCCCGTCGCCGTGGTTGCGTTACCCCTCCTACCAGTTCCTATAGCCACTTGGCCAGTGCGAACGCAAGCAGCAAAACCGAGTTTGGGGGAGAGTAGTTCTTAGAACTGTTTAGAAGTGGACAGTTCCTATAACTAAGTTCCTGTAACTACTTGGTCGGAAAGCGGATAATGTCTTCAGGATTACTAAGGCTACAGGCAAGAGAGATTTTTTTACATGCAGCAATAACCCGGTCGCGAACAGCCATGTAAACACCGGCAAAAACCTGAATATGCTCATATCCCGGATTTTAATATACCTGGGGTACCCCTTTTCTAACCCGAATTTTTGGTCATGTAAACGCGTATCGGCATATCCCTGTAGTGATTTGTGTTCTGCTTGTTCTATTCGCAAGGAATCTTGGGTTTTGAGTAAAGAAACTTCTCGGCACATACAAAAATCCGAACGCAGTATACCGGAAGTAAACATGGCGAGACACAGCACAGCATACTTTTGGAGCAAAGTCAGTAACGTTACCAGAATCAAAGCGCAAACAAAGGCGGACGCTATCTGCCCCGAACTATTCATTATCCGCGTGCTGCTGTTGTTGTTGTCTTTGGATACAGGAAGAAGAATCGGAAATGACACGCATCGCGTCTTAAGGTTGTCCGTATGACTAGACGCTAACCGCGCATCGCCGTTTACATCGGGATATTGCAATTCCATGTATACAGGAGAAACTCTCTCTGCTCACGCATGTAAACGGGTTATTCCGAATGTTTCAGAAACCCGAATAGTGATCTTAACCCGACCATAACCCGAAAATTGGCTGCATGTAAACGAGCCAAACTCTACAGGACAGTGGCTCTCTAGGACCGAACTTGCCTACCCCTGATGTGGGCAATTTGGTCTTTGCGGACTTTTTTCTTCTACTACTCTGCTGCTGCAGAGCAGTGGACATGCTACTGCTAATAATACACATACACGCTGATGTGAGCATGTAAGATATGCTGCTGCTGGATGAATAGGCATAAATCCCAGGTGACAGGTGGAGCTGGGGGAGGTGGATGGTTTCTGAGGACAGGACATCTGCAGGACCAGCTTATTGCGAACACTGAACCTGAATATTTAAATGTTGAGCAAACAAGTTCATTGGCTGCAGAATCAGCCAAGGCTAATCAGCAGAAGTATAAATGAAAACCAACGCATAGCCAGAGCCCGTCTAACGGAGAGCCTTGGCACTTCCTATTAGCCCCATTGTGTATCATCTTGGTTGCAGTTCCATTAGAATTCCACTGGAGGTGATCACGGGCAAGTGCGGAATGAATGGAAGTTAACGGCTAAATGTGTCTCTTTCTCCTGCTTGTCGTTGAATCAACATAGATTTTATTGTCGATTCTGCAAGTTCAATATAGATTATAGGCCAAAAGTTGAATAAACGAGTACTTATGTCCTTTCGATTTCTTACAGGTTAGGCCGTTGTTGGCCGGAACATGCTAGCATTCTGCTATTGTGTGACATCATCACATTTTTTAACAGATTTTTAGAACAGATAAGTGAACTTAAAAATGCAATTTTCAGCTGAGTGTATTATCTTAGCCCTTCCTTTTGAATGCAACTTTCAAATTACTTGACAAAAGTTACTTCAATTACTTGAGCTGCAGTCATCTTTGACAAGCGCTCTTTGATAACGTGATGATTACGTCCCTGCAGATCATCTGTCCATCACCGTATAAAGCCCGTCCTGGCAATTTGATTGGCCCGATCATTTTTTTGCCTGATCATAATTACTCCTCAATGGATCGAGTCCAGACCGAACTTCACGACCAAAAAATGTTGTGGGCGGAGTTCGGGCTGGCATCCAGGCTACCATTGAGTATAAAAACCAATATAAATTCTCGGTATTGCATTGGACTCTACGATCGGCAGAAGTTAACGAGCATCCTTAGACCTTCACCGGAAATACCTGTGCTGTGCATAGAGCCCATTTGCTGCTTCAGTTGTGTTTGATCAGAGTTGGAACTGAACTTTGCAGGAAGGTAAATCTCCAGGAACCGGATTGAGCATCCCTGCTCTAGAACATAAGTGGTCGATAATGCCAAAATATGAATTGCCTCTTGTGTGCCTTCTCCATCAGTCCTATAAAACTCTGGATGAAACAAATCTTCATTCAGTAATTACAAACGATTCTTAACACAATATATGTATTTAAATTAATCCATATTTTTATTGGATTCATTTAAAGGTGCCATCAGTCAAAAAAAAGTCAAATCATACTCCATATTCCATACCAGATGGGGGCAGTATACCTCCAGAAAGTGAGTTGTTCCGCGGCCGCGCGCACTCTCATATCTTCAAACAACACGAGCGAGCATGTTGCTCTCTCTTCCTCACGCATATTAATCAAATCAATTGTCACGATAGCACCATTCAGAGTTGCCAACTCTCACGAATTCACCGTGAGACACGCAATTTACACTTTTCACACACTCTCACGCCACACATCAATTTTGTCACGCACAGAAAAGGACACAGAGACCGACAGACTAGACAGAGCAGGTTAGTTATGATATATAAAAAAAATCTCAGCTCAGATTCTGTCAATTTTATTATGCAATTCAAACAATAAATATCGTTTTGGCACTTGTAAATGTTACACGACAGATCCCTAGCGCACATGAACTGATCATCTCTACTAGCTAATGGTAAAAGAACACGAACACTGTTCCTCATGCATAATATCGACCAATAATGTTTTTGAACTCTTCCCTGAACTGAAATGTAGTAGTGGGATGAACTTTCCACACGACTGACATCAGGTTCAAGTACACCCACAAGCTGTGCGATTTACTCGTGTATTGCAGTTTGGCTGGTGGTTATGTTGCCCCTCCGCATACCGCCTCCCATTTGCCGAAACTGGTATTATGACACCTGCCGGCCCGGGGCTAGTAATTTAGCATGCCAATTCAGGTTAATATGCAGCACTATAACTTTTTTAGTGGCACTATAAATTTTTATTTAAAAAAAAATAGAGTATGATGAAGTTATGTACATAAACAGTAATTTGGGGGCAATTATAATGCAGGAATCTGACATTTTGTTCTAATTTTAAAGATGTGGTGCTTCTCATCCAGTGTGCAAAGTTCTGCAAACCACTTTAGGTATGCCCCCCTAGCACTAACCCCTTTTTTGGCACTTCCCGCGGTCCTTAACTCTTTCCCCGCCAAACACGGAATTTTCCGGGTTTAATGAAAAAACGCATCCCCGCCAAACACGGAATTTTCCGGGTTTAATGAAAAAACCCATCCCCGCCAAACACGGAATTTTCCGGGTATCCGTGTTTTAGGTGGTATACGGTAAGGAAGACCCGCGCGCATGTCCTGAATGAGTGCGCAACTCTTTGATCAGAGAAACAGATTGCAATCGTCTCAAACAGTGGAGTAGTGAGAATGTATCAGACAGACAATGCAGAGGTATATGGCTGAAGTACTGGAGGTTAATGGACTCGGAGTCCGATCACTCTTTATTTGATAATTCTGAATCTGATCAGGACGAAGTAGTCAGTGAGAGAGATGCACATGTTGTCACAGAAAGTTCTAGCCATGGACGTGCCGCAGATAGATCGTATAATATTATGACACTATAATATGTGTGTGTGTGCAGGCATTTATGTGTGGCTGTCTAAATATGAAGGTGTAATTGTCAAATTATTTCTCTCTTTGTGCACATTTACCACATTGTAATATGTATTGTGTGTGTGTGTGTGTGTGTGTGTGTGTGTGTGTGTGTGTGTGTGTGTGTGTGTCTAGGCCTGTTTATTGTAATTCCAATTATTCATTATTCACAGGTAGAACACAGAGAGGCAGAGGCAGAAGTTTTATTGCAAAAGTTACATTTCCCTTTACATCCTGGGAAATTTGATATATTTTACATTTATTTATGTTTTTAATTTATTTTGGAAAGTTGTATATATGAAGAAAACAACATCTGAATGTATTCTGCTTTTAAATGCACTTGTTTGATAAAAATACCTTTTTCTCAGTTTTTTGTCCAAAATGTTGTGTTTTTGACAAAACCTACCTCTGTTCAAGAGGCAATAAAAAAGAACAAATGAAGATAAAATAAAAACGTTTTTTTTTTGCCTAAAAGCAGAGGCTCAGATCTTTATTTTTATATATATCATCTTCATATATTCATGGAAGAAAATATTCAGCGGGGCATTAAAATTTAGCCAAAAACCCTGGCGGTGGCTGGCAACTTTTTTTTAAAACGCTGGCGGGGAAAGAGTTAATAGCAACCATTCGTGTTTTATGCATTTGTCTTTGCTTTTGGCCTCAATGGCGTTCCATACTGGATGGTTCGTGGTAGTGTTGACGTTTGTTGTGACGTCAGCAGTTTCGTTGACGATCAAAATGAAGGCGCACACGTGTTAACTCAGAGCCGAAAAATGACAAAGCATGAAAATAATGTTTCATCCAGCGCAATATTTATTTGTTCCTTTCCTGACTGTCAAGCGTCATACAACAAAGCATGGAAGCTAGAAGCGCATCTCTGCAAACATACAGGGGAGGTAAGTAATGCACAGGGCCAACATGTGAGTGAAATGAAACGGAAACGTCCTCAGAGAACGTTAGTAAGTGTTTGCAGGTGTAAGGCGCGTTCTGAAAGCTGTTTTCAATTGAATAAATGTTTATCAATTGAAACGTGCTCAGTCGATTTGTCAACACGACTCTATGCAGTTTAATGTTAAAGTGTATCCTACATTTTCTTTCGCAGAGGCCATTTAAGTGCGAATATGACGATTGCAGCAAATCTTTCTGCACGAAATATCACCTTGCTCGTCACACGCTGACGCATACCGGAGAAAGACCGTACAAGTGAGTGACCTTTCTTAAGATTAAGTTTAATAGGATGGCAAGCTGTCATTTACTCGTGCCGTGTCTGTTAACAGATGCACGGAGGACGGATGCAAAGAAGGATTCACCACAAACACCAACCTGAAGAAACATATTTCACGTATTCACAGACAAGAGACAAAACAGTACATAGTAAGTAAAAGTAAACGTATTTAAGATGTCTAAAATGTATGTTGTTGGCTATATTCAGTTATATTTAAACACTTTTGCTGGAAAACAGTGGCATAATGCACAAATCTGTAATATACTGTTCTGACGGTTCTGGCCCCACACTTTTATTGAGCACTGCCATATAAATATTATATCATTGTGTATAAATCATTCAGTACCATTATATTACTTTTACATTACCTTCACTGCAGTGTATCATAATACTACTAATGTTAAAGAGAAAGTTCACCCAAAAATGAAAATTCTGCCGTTAATTACTTACCCTCATCATGTCGTTCCAAATCTGGATGACGTTTGTTCATTTTCAGAACACAAATGAAGATCTTTTTGATGAAAAATTTTTGTCACTCCAATGACAGCTACGCAACGACTACTTTAAAAAGTTCATAAAGAGATTGTAAAACTAATCCATATGAATTGAGAGGTTCAGTCCGAATTTTCTGAAGACTATCGCTTTATGATGAACAGATTTAATGTAGGCTTTTATTCACAGAAAAACATTGATCAGTGAACATAAACGGAAGCTCAAACGAATAGCTTGATGCGCGAGAACAAACCTCATTGGTTCTTTCTGAAGCTCAAACGTGATGCGTAACATGAGAATGAACCTCATTGGTTCTCACAGGTCAAGCGAACATCTTTAAGTTTCCGTTTACCACAACTGATGTGTGTTTATGTGAATAAAAGCCTAATTTTAAATCTGTTCATCATATAAAGTGATCAACTAAACCGCTCAATTCATATGGATTATATTTATGATCTGAAACTTTTTGAAGCGTACCGGAGATGAATGAAATGTTCCTATTTGGGTAAACTAACCCTTTGTACTGTTCAGTATATGTTTTATATGTGAATTTGTGTTGTTTAAATATTTATTTTTGATTTTTTTTTAGTGCACATTTGAAGGATGTGGCAAAGCATTCAAGAAGAATAACCAGCTGAAAACCCATGAGTGTACACACACACAGCTGCTACCGTTCTTGTAAGACTTTTCCCACTGGTTTGTCTTGTCTCCTTGTTTTTTTTGTAATTAATTGAAGTCTTTCTCAGTAAATTGACATAATGCCTGATGATTTAGAAACTGAGACGTGTCCGACGTCCTTCAGTTGATGTTGTGTATCTCCTGCATTGCTCTGATCATCAGGTGCTCGTATGAAGGCTGCGGGAGACGTTTCTCACAGCGTGGTAAACTGAAGCGCCATGAGAAGGTACACAAAGGTATGTCCTCTGCTTGTTCTGTTGGTCATAAGTGTTTAATGTCAAATGTTGATTTTCCCCAGAAATAAACCATAACATGGTTATCCACTTTATTTTAAAGTAAAGTAAAGTAAAGCAAGCTGTATTTAACTTTAATGTGCGAGGCTTCCAGTGTCATTCACTTCCACTTAATTTTAGTTCTACAAAGACAGTTAATTTTGTTGCTTGATATTGCAAACTGGGCTGGTATCTATCTTATTATAGTAATCAAACACACTGGTTTTGTGGTTTGTATCACAAATAAGTTGACAATTTACTGGATTTTGTTTAGGGATTCACGATATATCGGCCAGCATATCGGTATCGGCCGATATATGTTCATTTTTAATGTTATCGGCCTGGTAAGAAAATGTGGCCGATATATTAAAGCCGATAAATAATGTATTATTCCCTTCAGCTGAGACGCTTGTTGAGTACTGTTTATATTTTTGAATTTCTTGAAATATGATTGAAATCTCTTGAAAAATAGAAAAAACGGTTTGGTACAACATGTGAAGCGCAAATCTGTCATATCGGCTATACAACACTATAATGAGAACATCATTATAATTGTGCGCTTGGGACATGGAATTAATTGTGATACTTTTGTATTTGTAATCAGGCTCTCAAAATTAGATAAAAATTTGGATTTAAGTTTATCGGCCGATATATCGGTTATCGGCTTTCAAATATAAAGAATTATCGGTTATCGGTATCGGCCAAAATTTTCATATCGGTGCATCCCTAATTTTGTTAGTTATTCCTCTAGTTCTTTATCTATTGTGGCTAAAGAATCAGATCCACAGGAAATGGCCTATTTCTACATGGCTCTTTAAGTCATTGGATGTGCATCACCCGACCTTTCATGTGTTAAATCCCGATCCAGGCTATTCCTGCACGGCTGCGGGCTGCTCATTTGTGGGAAAGAACTGGACCGAGATGACAAACCACAACAAAGTTCATATAGGTAAGCCTAATAGCCTAACAATAGTAGGGCCCTATGATTTCTGCGATCACGGAATCGCGAAATTGGCCAATTAACGCGGAATTTCGTGGATTTTTACATATTTGGTTTGAAATTCTGTTTTTGTGTGGGTGTCTGGGGAAAATGCAGATCTGAGCGACGCAACTCCCCCAACCCATCATTTCAGCTACAATAACGAAATCAAAACAATGAAAGCATGGTGAAGCGGCTCTCCACGGCAAAAAGTTAAGAAACTCAACGCTATAAGCCGTCAGTGACTTATGCAGTGTTTCCCACACATAAACTAATTCGCCGCCACATACTGCGTTTCATTTTTTAACACTATTTAAAACACGCAGCGTATTCTTTCAGTTGTATTTCCCCGCTCTCCCTCCATCTCTCTCACACACAACGTGCACACCACATCGGTCTATGAGGCGCCGGACTGGACAAAAGCGAACTCTGTGAGCGACACTGGGCGAGAGAGAGACAGAGTGTGACTTTATTTAAACTTATATAAACTAATATAATTTATATTACTGGACAGTTTAAAGCTCATAACCATATTTTGTTGTTATCTGCATCATGCTGTATTTGTCCTGAAAAGGCTACTGAGTAAATGTCTGTATTACCTCAATAAATTTGAGGTCATTCCTAATTTATTTGTATTTTTAATACATTTTAATCATTAACTTTAAAGTCGGCATGAAATCAAATTTGACAAATCTTCTTTTTATATGTAATATTGTAGTGTTTATTATAAATGATTTATCTGTGCACTTTTTAAAAATTCATGTACCCTTATAATCTTGAATCAAATACAGTACCCTTCCCTCCCCCATCAAAAAGATCTCTCTTCTCTTTCGGTCACGTGGAATGGTGAAAGGGTGCAGCTATCGGTCCACCTGTTCAAATCTGCCTCCATTTTGTTTGCAACGATCCAATCATATCCCAAAGAATGAAATCAAGCCCTGGCCTACATTTTTTTTTTTCTAATTTCAGAAACCGTTTAGCCTGTTTTATGCTTCTGCGTCGAATCAACGGCGTACCCCCGCAGACCCCTATCCGTCGACGCGAACCCCTCTCCGACCCCTCCGCCGTAGCTCGACGTGCACCTCCAAAAATTTGTAACTACGCGTCGAGACGACGCAGACAGCAAGGGCTTTGATTGGTCAGATTATACATAATTTCAGGAGTGTAGCTTTTCCGATTTCCCCCTCCCGCCATTAGCGCTATTTTTAACATTTGCACCCTCGTTCTGATAATTATAATACTCTTATAATGAAAGTAAATAAAGAATTAAACTAAAAATAAACTGTTTTGATTTCATTGTTAATATATATGTCTATATTCTTTTTTTTCTTTTTTGCTCGCAATAAACTTCAATCAATCAATAAATCAACGTTTGTTTTGAAACACAGTTTGTTGTTTATTTTCAATACAATGTTCACGGTTACATCATTGATAATACAGTACTAACCAAGTCTGCCACGGGACACATTATATCCTGCATAGCACAGTTCCATGTGGAGACTGAAAAAATCCTTCAAGTGATTTCGAACAGGTATCGTTATGGCAGCTCGGGTGGAACCTTTATTTTATTGTCTATGGGTGGAACGGGCCCTGGACATCCGTGTTGATTCTGTGGGGATAAAGTTTGTGTCGTCTTGTTATTCAACGTCGATTAGCTCCAGCTGGCAGCTGCAAAAACAACATTCTCTCTCTTTCGCTCGCGGCGCACGGAACCAAAGAGATTCGCGAACCCCCCTAGCGTTCTGGCGGCGAAATGCACCGCGATGCACCACAAGTTAACCTCACGGCCACGACGCCGTAGCAGTGACGACGTAGCTACGCCGTGGAGTTGGCGTAGCTACGCATAATGAGGCCTTTTCACTCGGATATACATCACGTTAAGGAAAAAATGACAATCTCAACTTACGTTTCACGCCGACTTTAAAAGCACACGCAGATTTTTTACGGCTAAAATAACAGTCAAGGGTAAAAAAAACGAATTCCCAAAAATTAAAATGGAAAAAACGGAATTTGGGAAGAAATAAAACAGATTTCATAGGGCCCTATACTAGCATGCTACCTCAAAGAAAGTTACAAAATATATATATCTTGGTGTGTGTGTGTGTGTGTGTGTTCAGTCCGGGTACAGTGTGATCAGTGTAAGAAAACATTCAGGGATAGCTGGTTCCTGAAGCAGCATCTACATGTTCACTCTAAAGAGCGCCTGGTCTTCCACTGCCCCAGAGACGGATGTTCCCGCTCATACACCACTGCGTTCAACCTGCAGAGCCACATACTCTCCTTCCATGAAGAGCAGCGCTTCTTCACCTGCACTCACCCTGGCTGTGGCAAGTCCTTTTCCATGAAGGTAACACTTTCCTATCGCTGATGGAAATTAGAGCCAGACCGATATATCGGCAGACCGATATTATCGGCCGATATTAGGCATTTTCCAAACTATCGGTATCGGCAGTTGTAATGGCCGATAAATGAATATTTAAAAAATTTAACCATGTCATGAGTGTTGGAGTTGTATAGTTTGTCCACCAGAGGGCACTCTACACCGTTCCTGTTGGCAACACTCGTTGAGTTGGTCACGAGACATACATTGCTTGAATAACAATTAAAAGAACATCCACATCAGTTCTCTTAACTCAAATAAGCTGCTCCATTTCATTGTCTTCTCATATTTCTTAATACTTCCTAATTTAATCATATTAAATAGTAAGCTGGCCATTTTCAGTTGTCTTATTGTGGACATCTGGGATGTAAAATATTTAGATCAGTGTACCTTTAAGAACTTTCTTAAAATACGCATCATTATTTGTTTTTTTGTTTCTTTGCCACAGCAAAGTTTACAGCGCCACGGTGTGGTTCATGACCCTGAAAAGAAACAGGTAACTACTTTTTTTTTTATTAATGACTTGGTCTTTATGTTGTAACCGAGTGGTTGATATTTAGGGAAACAAAATGAGTTGAGGATAACGGCCCTCTGTCTCTTTCAGCTCAAGCCTCGTCCAAAACGTTCCCTGGCATCCCGTTTGAGTGGTCACAAACCAAAAACAAAACGTCAAGCAAAAACTTCAAATTCAGATGAACCTTCAATGCCACACATTAGCCAGTCCGAGTCAACTACAAATCCTCAATTAATAGGTCAGCTGCAATCACTCAGCTCTCAAAGTTTGACAATCCTAAAAGCAGACAACCCAGAAACCTGCTCCCAGAGTTTAAAATCTGAGACCATTAAATCTGAGAGTGTTGTCAGCCAATCAAAAAACATTTATTCTGAGTTCAACAACACTGCAAAACCAGTGGTCCACCTTTTAGAGCCCCTCTTACTGTAGAGTTCAGGTTAATTCCCAGTGAACCCAATAGTTTTAATTTCACCCCACCGGCTTGCTCCAATGTAAATATACTTTTGCATTGAAAGTTGCATAGATGTTTACTGTTGCTTTAAGTCTTTTGGCTCCTCTGAGACCCCAACATCTCCTGGTACCTCCACCACAAAATCCGGTTTTAAAGTCTTCTTCAAAGTCTCTGCTTCCATTTTCTGCAGTTCTTTAGCAGAGGCAAGCCGAAGGACGCACATGGCACCACGACCCCCACGAACCACAGAGGGTTTTGATACAAAGCCAATAGGAATTGATATCTTCTCCACCATCTGAGTTAGGACTTTATCCTGTTTAGAAAAAAAAAAAATGAAGAAAATCATGAAATCTAGCTACCAGTGAATTATACCCGTCCTCATTTTCAAAGCATTTTAGTGTTATAGTAAAAGCAAATGTAACTTATGTTGCTGGTTCATTTAAACGTATACATTCATGTATAAATAAACTAATTGTGTAAACTTGGATCACGGTTTCAAATCCCAATATTTCCAGTATTGAAGCTCTGGCTGTCTCCTACTTTTCAAGGAATGTTCCAGGCTCTACTGACAACATCTATGATGTTAAAAGCAAGCAAAAATCATGAAATTACAATACAATTTTATGGTGCAAGACAACGTAGTGGATAAAAGTTTAAAACACATTTCTAGCCACTAGTTTTGACAACATATTTTATAATATAACTAAAATTGATGCAATACTGTTAATATCGATATATGAAAAATAGTGGAATTAATAATGTAAATTGTCTTAAAGGAGAACTCCGGTTAATTTTAACAATGAGCTAATTTTTTTTTGTACATTTGGAGTACTGTCGGAACAGACAAAAATATTTTAGTTATATTGATATATAAAGAGAGGAATTGTTTTTTGAACCAAATTGACTAAAAAAAAATAAATAAAAAAAAATACAGAGATATTATTTTTTGGCCATATCGCCCAGCCCTACACATACTAGTATAACTAAATGATTAACTAAACTAATAAACTAGTGTATTGCTTTACATCAGTCAGAGTGGTAGTGTCACAGCTCAAACATCACACATTTTTGTATAGAAGAATTAATATAAGCAATATTAAACTATGAGCTTCTTATTTTGGCCAATAATAAAACACAGCAGGTATAGAGGTGTAAAACATTTTCCAGGACCTTCACCCTCTCTGTTATTCTTTATGCCAAAACCTAGCATATATTGTCGTTGTTGTTGGCTCTTATAGATTGTTCTCGCTGTTCCTCATTTGTTAGTCACTTTGGATAAAAGTGTCTGCTAAATGTAAATATGATAAATGATGTCTGGTAAATGATCCCATAGACATCCATCATAAGCATGTTACTGTTATTACTATATTTACAACCTCAGGTAAAATAATCATTAAACTTGTTCTGAACCTGGAACAACTCAAAGCTCCCAACATTATTCACTTTTGACAACACAAGCACAGAAATGTGCATTCAACCAACGCACTGATTTACCAATCAAACACAAGTTAAAGGAAATAGATCATTTGTTTCCATACCAGTGGTGTGCCGCTGTCAGTTCTTGCTTTGATAGTGAGTCTGACGTGGTTCTTCTTTTCCAGCCAGCTCACAACCTGCCTCAGTTTAGTATCTAAATCATGAAGGGAAATATCTGAGGAGAAACTGAGTTCCTTTGATTGGACGGGCCCTGCAGGTAGACCAAAACAGTGTACGGTTAGGTTTAACACAAAATGCAATCACTAGTATGAAGGAGCTTTTGCCTGAATGAAACGCACCTTTCTTGGCTTTCTGTGCATCTCTAAGTTTCATCTGCTCTTCGTGGATCTGTTTCCCTTTCATCAGTCTGTATAATGGGGGATCACAATTGTCATTTATGGGAACAAGCTTCAGCCCTGTTTGGTCCATCAGTCGTATCACATCGGCACGGTGCATTGTACCCAATTCCTCACCATCCTCACCCAGTAATTGTATATGACGCAGGCCAATCTTCCTACCCACGCTGCCAAAAGTGACTCGTGCTTTCGGGTCCAGCTTTTTCGTCTCTTTCTGGATATCGGTCATGTCTGTGCCCCCACTCTCAGTGTCTGTGGAGAAGGACATACTTAGCCAGGATGGGACAATATGGCAACAACATGCTGGCCTGAGGGTCGATGGTTTTGTTGCCAGTGGAAAGCTGACCCGGCTGATGGATCGACGAAGACTGCGGCTCAAAACAAAGCTCAGGAAACCCAGAGACATCCTAGAAGACAGTGTCATGGATGTTAGACAGATGTGTCTGAGTCTGTAATGATGATGTTTTGAAGTACAGCTAAAATAGCAATACTTAGCATACTCATGATTATAATGTTAACCATTAATTAATTAACCATTTCATTCATATTAGGTCTCCATGTCTTTCCCCAACCCTGCCCCATTACATGGCTTGGGACAGACACACACAAACTTGTTTTTATATCTTTACGTGGACTCTCCATAGACGTAATGGTTTTTATATTGTACAAACCAACCCAACCATCACAGAAAACTTTCTGCATTTTTAAAAAACAATTACTTTAATAATAATTTATAAGCTGTTTTACCAAATGGCCCCACAATGTCAAAATGTTCTCATTTGACTATCTTTGAGGGGACATTTGGACCTCTCAGTACACACACATTCACACCAACGAGCAATTTAATAAGAATGTACACAACATTGGTGAAACGAAACAAACACTTACTTTTACTCAACATTTACTCAAAACGGACAAAAAGCAGAGGTTGTCCCTCCGTTTGTAAGGTTTTTGACAGATTTCTTCAGAACTTCGACAAACACCTAACTGGCCGAAGCTAACGTTACTTACATTAGTGACACAGGACCGACGTCGAGGACGAAGTAAGTGGATCAGTACGCTATCTGTCAGGTAAATATGTCAAGACAGACATCTGTGTCATAAACACAACATAAATAACGTTACAACTAGAAAGCATAGACAGTAAGCTAGAAAGCCAGGTGACTTTCGTAACTGATAAATGAATCTTATTCTTGGCGCACACATGTGACGTCAGCTAAACGCGCCGCTTCTGCTTTTTTATTCTTGAACAAAAATCACAGGGGATACATATATCAATCACTCTCACACACACACACACTCAAAATAATCAATCAAGGATCTCACTCACTTGCCCGAGTTGTTTTCCCTCCAAAGAAGTCATGACTTCTTAATGATATGATATGATTTAATTTTTCCAACTTTCATTCAAAGGGAAAGTAGTCAAAAATAACAGTGTGGACTTTAAATTGAGGGACAAACTAAAAACTTTGCTTATATTTATTAAAATAAATTTAATAATTTGAAAAACATAGCTCAAATTAGAGAGAAGCACTGATATATCCAACAATGTAATCATGTAAAAATCATGTATAGTAAGTGTTGTATTTATCATGAAATTGGGATACACAGGCCTTAGGACATAGGAAAAATGGTGATTCAAAATACTGTAAAATATTTTAAAAAAAATATCAAGTTATATACTTAGAGTTCAAATGGTGTTATTTATGACAGGTTTAAAATGGATAGCCTAATGTTCAACATTTTAAGGCAGTAACATCATGATCTTTACTGGGTACACAAAAGGCACCGAATCCCAGGAATGACCCTTAAAATATGTTAATATAATAAATAATAAATGTGTTTGTAGAATGAGATGCCGCATTATTTTTCACTATTTAATTCTATTTAAAAATTGTATGCTTTGTTGCATTATTGTCCTCTGCATTTCACAGGCAGGCATTTTCAATATGGCATTACGGAAGAAATTTTTCATTTCAATAAACAAAACAAAAGTGTAGGTTAATTAAAAGTCTAATGCAATGTAAGACAACAGCACTGTAAGTAAATATAGCCTAATTCGCATGGTTAGACACGCCAGATGTATCAAATGTAAATAATAATAATAGCATAATTATAATAATAACAACCGTTTTTCCATTTTAACATGTTTATTTACATTTTAACAAACTAATAAAGACTTCTTAAAGAGTTTTGAATAAAAGACTGAGCTCAGAGGACACGTGGGTCAGTTTCTGTGCGCTCGTCTGTGCTTAACTCGAGTTGACACGATTTGACCCGGAGCATAACGCTCACTGCTTCTCTTTACACTGCTCTCCTTCAAACCTCCATTTGCTAAATCAAAAAAACTATCAACTATGTAAAAGTAATAACCTTTGTCCTACATTATATCCAATACTTGATAAAACAGCACTGCAGCTTTAAATATACACTGTAAAAATATGCTTTATCTAATCAATAAAATTGCAGCAACAGATAACACGCAGTATTATTAATTAAATTGAACAAATTAGAATTGAGTAATAATTAATCAAAATATTGCTTAAAAGTCATCCATTTAAAATGAGTAACGTTTACACCTAAAATTAAACAAAAATATCTGAATAACAGATTAATTATTTTACAATATCTTTATTTTATATTGCCAACATTGAAGACACCTGATGTTAACAAGCAGAATCACTGAAGGAGAAAACCGTCATTTTAAAACAAACCTAAAACAAACACTGAGCACCATAATGGTGACTTAAACTTACTTTAAAAAAAAAGTTTTACTCATTTTAAATGGTTAACTTTTAATGAATTAATTTGATTAATTATTACTCAATTCTATTGTTAAATTTCATAATATTGCTTGTAATCTGTTGCCACAATTTTATTTATTAGATAAAGCGCATTCATTTTTATAGCATGCCAAATGGCACAATACTGTTGAAAATCTATATGTTGTTAAACCACTTTTAAAAAAAGTTTTTTTTTTATTGGGGGGGTGAATCCTCCTTTAATACCCACACACATAAGCTCTTTTTATATACTAACTCTTAAAAAGCAGACAAAAACTTTGTAAAGGCTTTCTAATATGTGTTTTAGACATTGTGGGAAAGGCAGCGTGGGTCGACCCTGTATCTTAGGCCTTGAAACAGTAAATCTAGAGATTTTACAGTTAGCTGAGCAGCAATAGATTAATTTGTTTAACGCTGATGGCTACAAAGAGCCTCTAATCTTTGCTGCTCTCAATGGCTTTAACCCTTGTGTCAGAGAGAAGCTGCTGTGTTTCTAAGAGCGCATTTCTCCCAGAATTCCTCCGTCACCTGCCCAAGCGCAGGTGCAGCCACAGATCCCTCCCATCAGAGAGCGGGCACAGGAAGTGCACAGAGCCTGAGGTCAAAGGTCATCGCCGAGGCGGTTGTTATGTTTCCATCAACAAGGTTTGAGTTTCAAAGAGCAGAGGCAGGACTGGAAACGCGAAGAAGAAAGAGTTTGAATTAATTTAAAAGGGAACAGGACTATTTCTTTTCTTGTTTTGTGGGGGTTGGGTCACTGTGTATGGCGCTCCGCATTTTATTAGTAATGGCATTGTTTGATTTATTTGCTTATGCGTACGTTTGATACATATGATGTAATGCTCTTCTTTAACGGTATATTTTCAAAAGTTAGATTGGCACAGAAACGAACAATGCCGCTCTTTATTACAGAGCTAAAGTGCACAATGATGAAGCTCCAGGCTATTCAGCAAATGAGACCCTAGATTAAGGAAGCCGCGAGGGCATGAACCACAAATGTTCGGAGAAAGAACTTTGTTGACAAAAAAAAAAGTGTCGTCTGCGAGCAGCAGGTGGATAATTGTACACGCTTGACTGCGCCTAGAGAAAGATGCGCTTGCAGAAAGAGCATTCATGAACAAGACTTGGGAGCTTCCTAGTTTGCTAATTAGCACAAGGATACCACTTCTTCTGTCAGGCACCCTGCATAGTGGCACACCTTTCAAACAAAAAGCATGTTACCATGCAGAAGTTACACAGTATCTTCTCGGAGGGGAATCTGACTACCCTAAACAGGGCCTTCTTTTCAGCATCTCTATGCTATATGTGTCTGTGAGTGAGGGAGTCTTTGTTTGTTACTCATGGAGCACGTCTTTGTTTGACTATTAACAGTACTTTGAGTGACATGTCTAAAGCTAAAGAGGCTCAGATATTTCTCTGAACAAATTATACATTGTATTTTGAAAAGTTGATTGAACTATCAAATGTAGAACTAAAAACGTAATTGTTGGCAATTTAGCTAGCCTGGGTTTCCTCATCCCAGTCTCAAATTTTCGCCTCAGCGAGGGGACCAATCACAGAACGGGGAAGGAGCAGCAAGACGATGATGACGTCTATGCGTCACACCGAAGCAGTTTGTTTATACCTATGGATCAAATATGGCGGCAGACGTGAAGTTACCTTTCGATGCAGCCTTATATTGTTCTATGTAGCTTAGAACGTAAATAAATGACCCATCGTCTTCTTCCTCGTCTAATTTTTTCGCTCTACATACGTCATCTGGTATAATTGAACCGATTGGCTATGATCTACGTACTGGCGCATTTAATAGACATTTGTAGCACCCAATAAACTGCTCTGGGCATTCGTAAACCACGTCTCAAATACGTGAAAATTAAAATGTGGTTCCCAAACCAATGAGGTTAGTACAACTTACAAACAGCAAGGTAAACTATGTAACTTTTTTTTTGTTCAAAATTAAAAAAAAAAAAGAGTCAATACATAATCAATTCTTCTTCCAAAATATGTTTTTGTCTTGGTTCACTATGGTAAGGCTCTATACGTGTTTATAATGTTTATAGTGGTTATAATGTTTTAGGCCCGTCGGGATGGTTTTCATGGGAAATTGCACACATGCGTCACTCGCACGCGTATCCGTAGATAGAGAAAAGATCTCCGGCTACTTTGAAGTGTGTGTGGTGTGACTGGACTTGAGCGTCAAAAAAGCTCTGGCCTCTCTGTCAAGGACGCTTGTCAAAAAGTACGGGGAATCTTGTTGACGCTTTGGACGCTTTGAACGCTCTGACGTTGCAGGGAGAATGGAAGTGTCACAGCATGAAATGTAATAAACAGAAAAAAAACAAGCAATACATAAAGCAACCTTTTACATTGACAGCATTTTATAACCGTTTTGGTCACATTTGGTCGGGAAAAAAATTGTTAGCTATTATTATTATTATTTGCGGCCAAATCGGTGTCCCCATGAGCAAATTAATTGCATTCCCGCTTTAAAACGAGCGTTTGTATATATTTCAAATAAAAGTTGCGTTCATGCGGTCCCTAAAAGCAGACAATGTCATAATGTCATAAAGGAATCACAGCAAAGGCGATTAAAGCTTCTCTTCCATATACTCGGAACTAATGTTTTGGTAGGAACGAAAGTTTACATTCATGTTTCTCCGGAATCAGCCAGCGTGAAGGATGTCTATATTCCGATTGGTTGCTGGCGTTTTGCCGCTGCTTGCAGGTGAACTGCGCCACAGCTCATTACCATAAAGTTGAGCTTCTTTCAACTTTCTGATTGACGCTCAGAAAACGCGATGCCGATGGATTTGACGCTCCTTGCAGCTGAGAGAAGCCAGCTTCCATTGGAAATGAATGACTTCCGGCCGCTTTGGAAGCTCAAGTCGGTGGCGGTGTGAACGTAGCCTACAGTGAGAGTGGGAGAGGTGAGTTTCACAACGAGTGAGAAAGTTTGATACGAAACAGATCAATCTCCAACCTCCGGTGAATCTCATGTGTTACAAAATAACAGCAAACAGAGGAGAGTCTGCTGGCAAAAAGAGAACGTAATAAAACAAGAATCCACATTAATGGCGAGAACTGAGGGATTTGAAATGTTGTAAAAGTGATGCGGAGATTGCGCTTGTATTACCAGAGAATTAAGTTACACAACAGGGAAGTAAGGTATTTTATTGAACAGATGTATCTGTAACAGAATTGATTGTAAAGCATCATCACTAGCTGCGTTTACATGGACCCTTATATTCGGATTCACGGCTCAATCGGACTAAAAAACCTTCATGTTACACCTAAATCGATCCGATTGAGCTCGATCCTACTGGAATTTCGGTGGTTTACTACTTTTTCAAATTCGATCGAGAGAACATGTAAACACTTCGACCGGATTGAAAACCGAAACTAAAAGGACTTCTTCGCGATTCCATGT